CGCCAGGTTTGCAGGTCAGAGTGGCCAAAATCCTGGGAGAAATCAGGATTTGAGGGCAGGTAGGCCAACTTTATTGTTTCAGACCCCCTCTCCCTCTCTCTAACCGACTTAATAAAGTGACACTTCTACATCCATCCTTGTTCCGGAGCATGTGAAACAAAGTCCATAAAAGCTTTGAGCCTGTGTGCTCGCGATCTCAGAAGCAATGACACCGATGGCCGGGGCTGAAGTTCACAACCGAGCGACGTTGGTGGCCCAACACCGGGCGGCGGACGCCCGACACGAGAACAGCCGTCGTGAAATAATGGCTCCGAAATTCCTTCAAAATGAATTCGTACTGCTCTTAAATCAGGCTGGGGAGCAAAGTCCACAAAGAAACTTTGAGGATGTCCTCTGAACAGATAAAAAACTACAGCAACAAGAAAGGAGAGATTTTATGTTTGCTTGTCTAATTCCATCACCAAATACGGCACTGGTTCGCCGTGATATGAATGCTAATTCTACCGTCCAAAGGCAAAAAGACCTTAGAGCCATTAGTTATCATGGCACTTGGGCCTTTTTACCATTGGACGGCAGAATTCGATCCTTTATAATTACATAAATTGCGCTGGTGAAACATGCTCCCAAACAACTTTCTAAAAGTACGAAATTAACATCCTAAAGCTTTCAAAGGTACCTCTTTCAGAAACGTTGCGGTTTTCATCCGCTCTCCGGCCACCGCACCTACCATCAGCAAGAGGGCGACGCAGCGCGGCCTAGGGAGACTGCAACGCCGGGCATCGCGGCTTTTGCTCTAGGGCTTGAGAGCTCGCGTGGTCGAAGCTATGTTACGTAATTCGTTATTCTTCCACTTCTCAGTTCTGAACAAACGTTGAACCTTCCCAGACGAAATGGTCACTGAGGGGTAGTTCAACTAGCAGCGCTTTTGCAAAAGACTTGCGTTGCGCATAACATTGTGATCGCTTCCTTTACCGTAGATTCGAACTGAAGCCGGCAAGGGTCGCTTTCTCATCGGTGGTACAACAGCTAGGAACACTGTCTCCCAGACGCACGGCTGGTTCACAATGTATGTTTGATGAAGTGAGCGGGAAAGGTGTTCTTAAGAGGAGGGCATGTGCCTAAACGTTTTCTGAAAAGATACTTGGAGGAGCGATTATGCTTTCCTTCACATTAACTGAAATACACATGTTTTATGGGTGATACTTTTGGTATGTCAAGAAGCTTCATGTAAACGGGATGTAATGCCAGATATATTGCGGACACTATCCATAACGCGAGCAGAGGGGAGGGGGCACTGGGGCACGTGAGGCCTTTCGGGCCACTTCCGAGAGGCCTATTGGGCCACTCGGGATCTATGATGAGACCCGATTTGAGAGCCCGAAAGGCCGGCCGGAGGTCGCATTCAGGAGCCCAGCCCGCAGATCCTTTTATTTGGGTTTTCTGTCCCTACCATGTAGGCCCTCGACAAGCAGCCAAACAGTCGACTCCATGTCCGTCTGAGCCTTCTGGATCCATTTCCCAAGGACGCATGAGGCTGGGGTCTGTGATTCGCCATGTTTGGAGTTCCTGACACAATGAGGGGCTCCTGTGTCGGTCAGAGGCCTCAGTGCCTAACAGGGGTCCTGTGGCGGCGAGAGGCCCCGAGTCGGTCAGGAGCGGTGTTTGAGAGGGCCCGAAGAGAAGCCGAAAAGTCTTTCGAGACCCAAGATCAAGGGCCATATTGGATGACTGAAGGGCCCGAAGGACCCGCGCTGCAGGTTACCTTAAGGACACCCGCCCGTAAGGCAGTGATCTGAAATGCCTCTTACACCGACTAGGGACTCCTGAGACTGAGCGTTCCTCTATTTCGGCCAGAGGCCACCAGTACCCAACAGTTGGCTCCGTGTCGATCTAAGCTTTGGGGGCCCATCTCCCAAGCACGGACAAGGCCGGGACGTGATTTACATTGGTCGGGGCCCCCCCCCCCGCAACAATGTTGAGCTCTTGTATCAATCAGGGGCTCACAGTGCATAACAGGGCGTTCTGCGTCAATAAGGGGCCTCGAATCGACCAGGGAAGCATTTGCTCAAGGGGGACGAGGATGGGACTCCGAATGGCGGAGAACCTCTTGCGCTGTTCGGGGCCCTCTGACAGTGAAAGAAAACCTGAGAACTTACGACGAATGTTCATACTGAAACAAAGAAAGGCTCCTGTGTCAATCAGGACCCCTAGTGCCGAACGGTGGGCCGTCTAACCCAGTTCCAGCACTGGAGTATATGTGACAATTAGTGGACCACCTGCGGCGATCGGGAATGTTGTTGCGTCAAGGAGGGCTCCTGCATCGATCCGGGGCCACAAGCGCCGGTCAGAAGGCCTCCCTCGTCAAGGAGAGGAACCATGTGATGTGATACATTCCTCTCAGGGCCTCCGGATCGACCAGGGGATCCCGCCTCGTGTTGCTAGAACGGCAGCCGGAGGACGTCCCGTGTTGGGACGGAACGACCCCTCATCCCTTTACCGGGAACAGTAATGTGCTCCTAGTGGTCTACTCAAGTGGACCCTTCGCCCGGAAAGATGTAGGGGGTCTCGTTGATGTTGAATAGAGTGGGTCGAATGAGTTGAAAACGAACAAAGTCACTCCATGTTTGCCTGAGAACGTTCATTCTTTTGCAGAATCGACTAGTGAAACAAATTACATCAAAAGGTTTGAGCTTACACCTGCAATCTCAGAAGCAAGGACAGCGATGGCCTGTGTTGCATCTTCGGTAAAATCGGACGGTAATGACCAGTGCAAGTGACGCCAGGTGGCGGGTGCCGTGCGCGCGAGAACGGCCGTCATGAAATGATGGTTGCAAATGTCTTTTTAAAGTAAGATTGGGCTGGGAGTACGTCTTTACAATTTAGAGGATGTCCTCTGGACATATTAACAGATACAGTAACACGGAAAATAGATTCTAGCTCTACTCTTTCAGTTCCACCACCAGCTTTCACCCCCACTTCGCGGTGCTGCTGAAGGTCAATCCGTTCCCATCATGAATCTACAAATTTGACGTGTGAAGTATTCGCCCAGACTACGTTTTAAATGTGAGGTATGGTATCCTAAAACGTCGAAAGATATTTCTTTCAAAAGTGTCATAATTTCCCTTTGCCTGTTGATTATGGCTCAATGTTACGCGCCGAGCCGAAGCCGCGCGAGATAAGAGACTGGAACGCCTGGCGTCGAGGTTTTGTTGCCAAGATTTGAGAGCGCGCGTGTTCAAAACTGCGTTACATAATTTGTATCACCAATCGATGCTGACTGAAAGTTGACATTCTCAGAAAAATCTGGCTTGGCTATGCTACTGCAACTGTTGACCCATTTTCATCTACAACTGCATTCGCGCGGTTTTTAGTATGCCCGTGGAACCCAACGAATTTACTAAGCCATTATAAGATGCAGAGCTCCAGAGATTTATTTCATGCAACCGTTTAAAGCAGTTTGTCACTTTTAAAAGTAGTTCTTTAGTTCTCTATCATAAAATTCAGGCAGAATTGACCTCCCGGCAGCTTCTGGCTTCTACCCCAGTTATACCTTACCTTACCTTACCTTATGGTGATCGGGAATTAAAAAAGGCCATTAGGCTTGTAGGCCCTGGTCTCGTCAGACTCCCGGTCCGGTAACCGAACAGTCCAAATTATAGATAGTATAAATGTAAAACATCGAATAAAAACATGCCCTCATTAATAAATGGACCATTTCTGGCGATATCGGGGCCCCTCTCACTTTCCAGGGGCCCTTTGTCAACCCTGTACCCCTTTCCCCTTTGCCAAGGCTCTGGTTGCGCGCCTGGACACTATGCTTGTGAATACATGAATGTATGCGCAAAAAATACAGAAGTGCGCTTATTTGACTTTTCAGTACCCAAGGACCCAAGGGAGAGGTGCAAATGCACCCCTTCAGCTTCACATAACAAGTGCGTTTACATGAAGCTGATTCAAACTGCCAGGTTTCCATATGTGATTGCTGTTGCTACGCACGTGAGCTTTAAAAATATGCAGCACGTGTAATGTATATATATATATATATATATATATATATATATATATATATATATATATATATATATATATAATGGACAGCCAGAAAACCGCGACAGAAGTGGACTATATCAGATACATTTTTCGCACCTGTCCCCTTACGGCGACTTGCACGAGTATAGACCCCAATCATTTTGGAAAATTGACACCCATGATCGGTGGCCGCATCAGCATTGACGTTACCTGGATCTTGAGCACGACCTATGTCTGCGCGCGGTTGCGGCATGGAAAATAAATATCATAAAAAGGCAGCCAACAGACCTATTCAAGCGGCGCGTGAAATAATGTAGCCCCAATATGCTCCTATCTCCGTCCGAGCCTCGATTTGGGATGACACCGTCTGACAAGCGGAGCTTGCCACACCTGGCACCACCACTTCAGTATGATGATTGGGGTTGTCCGGCGCGCCGACGCTGGTGTCATTTGACGCCCAACCACCACATCAGTAGGGCAATTCATGTTCGGGAGACCAGCTCCGACCGACGAGTGGAATGAGCCATGCAGCACTGCGCCCGGCTGGCTGGGGTTCGACCGACGCGTGGCCGGCGGCCAGCCGACGGTCGCCGACGAGCTGGGAGTCGCGTTGCAAGGTTGCTGGGACAGTGACCGCAAGACGTGCCAAACGGTGGTCTGTCGCCGTGGCTTCTCTGACTGTCCGCTGGGCGACGAGGACGGCAAAGCTGCAGGGGTGCTCCCTGACATTCACGAAAATCTCGGCCACCTGTAATGCGTTCAGCGCTAGGTCTGGTCCAACAGCCTGTACTTTCGTCTCACTCTGGGCTACACCACAGGCGGGAAGACGGGGGAAATTTCGTCACAGATAACAGACACGAAGGCAACACCGCGCCGCCGCCGCCGATACCAATGACGTATCGGTCCGATACCATCCGTATCTTATCTGGCGTCAACTGGTATCCCGGCCATCCGGGTGCAGTGCTCGGAGGGCGCCGGCGATTCGAGGCGCTGTCGGGCCTCCGCGCGCGCGCTCCACAGCAGGTCACGGCCATGTCGCGGCGCATTCGGCTGCTGTTCGTAGCGGCGGCTCTGCTGGCGGCGACGGCCCACCGCGCGGCGGCCGACGACTCGGGTAGGTGGACGCTAGGGTGCCGTGATCAACAGGATAGAGGGGTCGTCAACGGCCGTCACGCTGTCGCCATTTAAATTCCATTTAAAACCCGTTGGTAACGATGCTGCAAGCAATGCTCAAATACATAGGGCGTCGATTAACGGCAAGGTATATTCTTCTAAGGAACCGATACTGATTACTCGCATAATTGCCAGCGAATACTTTTGAATCCAAGGAAGGTTAGCCGATTGTTCCTGTGCACCTTTGCTGAGCCCGTTCCTATGATTGATCACTCACTGACCGCGTACCCTGATGTCGCGCTTCCGTGGCAGTGCAAAGTGCCGCTGCTGTGAAGAGTTGCTACACCTGCATGGGCAACCAGGACGACAACACCTGCTTGCTGGCACCAGAAAAAGAGGCGCAACCCTTCATGAAATGCACGCGGAAGTACTGCACAATCATCCGGGAGGAGTACACCGAAAACCCAGGTGAGTTGAGAACAAAGAGTTGTCCCAGTCAGGTTTACACTTGAAACAAAGGTCACTTGATACTCCGATAACCTGAGCCCAGCTGGTACTCGACCCCGAGGCCTATTCAGTTAGCAGGAGACACAAAATAGCATTCGGTTTGCAGAGCAGACCTCTCGCAGGTTTGACCTGTGCCGGTTAGGAGTATCTCGGCGGGGTGACGGACCACCTGTGGCGTGTGTGCGTCACTGCAGGTGTGCCGCTCACACCACCCAGGACTGCGAGGTGACGTCGGCTGGCGTGTGAGCGTGTGACCGGTGTGTTCCGCTGCAGGCGTGGCTGTCACGATCACACGCGGCTGCGAGGTGAAGCTGCCCCACCCGGACGGCAAGGAGGTGACGGACCAGTACACCCGCTACTACTGGACCTGCACCAGCAACCTGTGCAACACAGGTAATCACCGGCCCGACACGACACCACAGACCAGTATACCCGCTACTACTGGGCCTGCACCACCAACCTGTGCAACACAGGTAATCACCGGCCCGACACCACACCACAGACCAGTATGCCCGCTACTGCTGGGCCTGCACCACCAATCTGTGCAACACAGGTAATCACCGGCCCGACACGACACCACAGACCAGTATACCCGCTACTACTGGACCTGCACCACCAACCTGTGCAACACAGGTAACCACCGGCCCGACACGACACCACAGACCAGTACACCCGCTGCTACTGCACCTGTACCACCAACCTGTGCAACACAGGTAATCACCGGCCCGACACGACACCACAGACCAGTACACCCGCTGCTACTGCACCTGTACCACCAACCTGTGCAACACAGGTAATCACCGGCCCGACACGACACCACAGACCAGTATACTCGCTACTACTGGACCTGCACCACCAACCTGTGCAACACAGGTAATCACCGGCCCGACACGACACTACAGACCAGTATACCCGCTACTACTGGGCCTGCACCACCAACCTGTGCAACACAGGTAATCACCGACCCGACACGACACCAGTATACCAGCTACTACTGGACCTGTACCACCAACCTGTGCAACACAGGTAATCACCGGCCCGACACGACACCACAGACCAGTACACCCGCTACTACTGGACCTGCACCACCAACCTGTGCAACATAGGTAACTACCGGCCCGACACGACACCACAGACCAGTACACCCGCTGCTACTGCACCTGTACCACCAACCTGTGCAACACAGGTAATCACCGGCCCCACAAGACTCCACATACCAGTACACCCGACGCTACTGGACCTGTGCCACTCAAATTTTGCGTTGGGTTTGGAAACCTTGTTGACCTCACCAGTGCCACAGTCCATGGGCGACGTCATCAGTGTAACAGCCATGGGTGACGTCACCAGTGTAACGGCCATGGGTGACGTCGCCGGTGTAACAGCCATGCGTGACGTCACCAGTGTAACGGCCATGGGTGACGTCACCAGTGTAACAGCCCATGCTCAGAAAGCACTCGGTCATAGATCTTTGTCCGCAAAATGTTTGGTCAAGTGAATCCGTCCACCCCCGTCCAATACCCTGAGCTGAGTGCATTGGTTTGATAGGTGGAATACCACCGTGATAATTCAGCGCTACGTTGGACCCTCTACGTTGACTTCACTAAACGACCAGCGTAACTGGGTACGTTTCCACAACCCAGTAGAACAAGCCCGTCCACCTTCACAGCCCTTCCAACTCAAGCCAGCTGCTTCCGTGGCCGGCTAACTGGTCACCCCGCCGGTTATGTCCCCGGGGAGGCCGCCAATCGACTACCGCCGTGTGGGGTGGCTCCGTTACCGGCCCAGGTCACGAAAGGTCGCTCGGGGCCACACTGGTCGCGCAGAGGCGTCGTCCCCGCTGCCGGGCCCGTCCGGTGCGCCCGTCCAGCACGGCACTGGGACAAGCGTCGACCCCCTTCCCCGCCCCCATGCCAGGCCGGTCCGGAGCGCCCGTTCAGCGCGGCACTGGGACGAGCGTGGCCCACTGCCCCCCCCCCCCCCCCCTGCCGGGCCCGTCCGGTGCGCCCGTTCAGCGCGGCCTGGGACGAGCGTCGACCCCCCTCCCTTCCCGCCCCCATGCCAGGCCGGTCCAGTGCGCCCGTCCAGTGCGCCACTGGGACGCCTGGGTCGGCCGAGAGAGCAGCCGTGCAGAAACGGTGCCAGCGTGCGACGCCAGGCAGAGCAGCCACGCGCGGCTTAACGTGTCACTGTTACGACAGACAGCGTGAGCATAAGCATCGCTGAAGATTTCCGGTGCCTCTCCTTGGCATGACTCGGACTGCGGCCTGTGCCTGTTATCAGGGCCGCTGGGTGGCCCCCGCCCGGCAGCGGCCTGTGATAAGGTCCCCTTCCGTGTGCTCCCAGGGGACGGCACACACGCCCCGGCCGGCGGCGGCGGCGGTGGTGGCGGCGACGTCAAGTATGTACTGGTGGAGGGGTGCGGCGTGGCAGCCCTGCGAGGCGGCCTGCTGACCGTGGCCGGCCTGGCGCTGCTGCTGCTGCTGCAGCCCTGGTGACCCCGCGGCAGGCACCGGGCGGACCGCGACGGGCGTCGGCGGCGGACCACTGACCGCTGTATCGGTGACGGGCCACGGTGTCGGCGGGCCCGTCGGAGCACGGCCGACGGGACCAGTGACATATAGCCACCGCAGACCGCAGCGAAGGACGCCAGATCACGGCGGACCGCAGCGACGGACACCGAATCACCGCAGACCGCAGCGACGGACACCGGATCACCGCAGACCGCAGCGACGGACACCGAATCACCGCAGACCGCAGCGACGGACGCTAGATCACGGCAGATCGCAGCGACGGACGCCGAATCACCACAGACCGCAGCGACGGACGCTAGATCACGGCAGACTGCGGCAACGGACGCCGGACACGGCAGACCGCGGCAACGGACGCCGGGTCACGACAACCGAAGCCGGATCGCGGCAACCGCAGCCGGGCCGCCGCACCTCCGCCGAACCACAAGCTGCATCCCAGCAATACGTGGGAGACTGGTCAATGAAGAAACTGTTAATATGATGGGGGATTTCGGTTGTGCTTTATGGCGATAAAATTGATTGATAAAACCGGTCAGTGTATTCGTGGCTGGACACTGGACACGATACATCAAGATGGACAGCGGAATTTGATCACGCATGCTCCACAGGTCTCCAGCGGCGCTCGATAGTGAATGATTGATGAATACGTATTCGTCACAGAAATCGATGGCTGGCACGCATACTCTGGAGAGCCTCTCACAACACGCTGGTAACATCGAAAACAATGCGCTCGATCAAACAACCAACACGCTCTTCACAGAGCACCGCGGCTTAAGGAGTACACCTGAGACGCCACCACTTGCTGTTCACCTGGACCCAACATGCGAACCGACAGATTCAATGAATGCCAATGGTTGCACGCATTCAGATTGGGGCCACTTTTAAAGCATACATGGCGTGTGGAAAGATCAACACGTCCCGATCCAAAAAAGTTCTGAAAATTTCTGACAGCAAAATTCAAATAAAACAGCCGGTATATTCCCTGTGCCACAAACAAACTTATACAAGGACCCAAAAGCCAAGCTCGCGACAGGCTAGAGATGCGACTTCAAGCATCCGCTCCCAGTACGGCCGCAGCCTACGCAGCATCGGAAGAAGAAAAGGAGAGCGGTGCTGGAGGAGACCAAGTGACCCTCCACCGCCCGGCAGAGTCGACTGGCCACTGGCAGCAGCGGGCAAGCTCAGTTGCTGTGTTTCTGCTCGGCCTCGGCGAGCTTGCGGTTGTAGTTGGCCAGAGTCAAGTGGATCGTTTCCGACGAGTACTTACACTTCATCGAGCCGCACTTGCATGTAAACATCTTGTACTTGATTATCCAGAACTTCTCCCCATAGTCAAAGCTGAAAAAGGCAAAACTACATTGCAAAGGAAGGATTTGTGGGACGAGGACTCCAGCCACGCAGTCATCACCGTTAGAATTCCGAACAAACCAGCAATATTGCAAAAAGCTTCTCGGGTTTACGTGACTGCAGCACCAGAGAGGTCAACCAACCCGCTCATAATCCATCCACCTCTGTATGCCCTCCACTCGCCTCTCCACGCCTCCCCACCCAGCTGCCCACACCCAGCAGCCCTGTCCGGCACCCGCCCACGCACCCGAGCTCCTCAGCCGCCCGCACCCGGCAGCCCCCGTCCACGTAGCCGGGCTCAGCTCCTCAGCTGCCCACACCCAGCAGCCCTGCCCGGCACCCGCCCACGTACCCGAGCTCCTCAGCTGGCTCGACATCACGACACGTGAAGAGCGCGATACGCGGGAACCGCACGTCCTGGTGATCGACGAACACCTTGACGGGCACCAGGTTCGGTTCGCAGCGGTGGTTGATGAAGCGCGCCACGTTGCCGTAGCGGCGCGCGTCGATGCAGAAGGTGTCGCCGTCCCGGTTGTCCAGGTCGAACAGGTAGGAGTCGTCCTCGCGCTGGTCGGCCGCCGAGTCCGTGATGAGCTCGCCCACGTACCTGCCCGCGACGGGGAGGGGGCGTGGCTCAGCGCCAACAGAGGACCGGCCGACACACGTCCTCAGACAGCTCCGGAATTGGCACGGCGTCAGCCCGCCTCCCGCTCAGGCGTTCAGCCAGCAGCTGGCCGGCGGTAGCACAACCACAGGCTGCCTACCTGGCGCGCGCGAGTCGGCACTACGCGCATGTGTGTCAGCCAGCATACGGAATCGGAAGCAACCCCGATGCGATGGTGAGCGCCAGCAACAAATGACAGCCCGCCTTGAAGCACCACACCAAGGCCAGCTGCCCGCCTGCATTAGACACAGGATAGCTGGCAGTCTTGAACGGCCCGCCCCACACCGAACATCAGCCGCAGTATGGCTGGCGGCCCTGAACAGCCCGCCCCGCATCAGCGGCAGCGCACACAGCGGCCTGAGAGCACACACTCACTCGCACACGTAAGTGCCCTTGGGGATGTGCCTGAGGGCTCGCACACCCCAGCCGCGGTCCGGCGTGCGGTACAGCTGCACGCGGGCCGTGATGCCGTGCTGCACGGCCCGGTTGTTGCACGTCAGCTGGTTGCAGCCGCACGCTCGGTTGCACTCGAATATCATCGGAGGGTCTGCAACATGCGGGGCGAGGTGAAGCGGACGCTGCTGCGACGGGGACGCGTCCGCCGCCGCTCGCGCCGCTCCCGAAAGGAAGGGGGGGGGGGGGTCGGCGGGGCCAAATACACGGCAGGGGCGCATGCTGGAAAGTGAAGAGAGTATACGCCAATTTTAGCTTTGCATCAATAAAACGCACCATTTTGTTCTGAATTATCCGACTAACATAGGGAACTCGATTCAGACAAGATGCGACACACTTCCCTCGTCGTCGCGGAGACAAATTTGCTGAGCGACACCGGGGAGCCAAGCACCAGCCGCGCCCGGTCCGGTGAGGAGTGCCCACCTGGCCCGATGGGAAGGGCCCGCCCGGCCCGGTGAGGAGGGTCAGTCCGGCCCGGTGAGGAGGGTCGGTCCAGTCCCGTGAGGAGTGACGCCTGGCCCGATGGAACGGGCCCGCCCGGCGCGATGAGGAGTGACGGCCGGGCTCGGTGAGGGGTGACGCCCGGCCCGGTAAGGAGGGTCAGTCCTGTCCGGTAAGGAGGGTCAGTCCAGCCCGGTGAGGGCCCGCCCGGTCCGGTGAGGAGCGCCCGCCCCTCCCACCTGTGTAGTTGAACTCTGGCAGCAGCCGGCCGTCCGGGTCGTACCAGCAGCGCAGACTGATCTGACTGCACATGCAGTCCGACGACAGGCAGTTGTCCAGGCAGTTGCACGACTGCCAGCCGGCGGACGCACCAATGAGGGTCCGACGATGTTCTTACACGAGAACACGGGTCTCATTGAGAGCCGACACGAGTTGTAGACGCACGAGGAACGCAGCACTGCAACCGACACGGGATAATGCACACAGATCCAATGATTACGCGGACCACACGGGGGTCACTCGAACCAGAGTTGTGGGCACCTCACGGCCCCAGAGAGGGACGGCATCCACCAGAGCGGGAACACAGACTCCAGCCCACCTGGAGTGACGTGATGGTCTTGTCGATGTTGAGCTTCATGGTCTCGCAGCTCTCCGAGATGTACACGTAGTCGGTGGGCAGCGGCGTGTCGTCGCATTCGTTCACGGCCTGCAGCGGCGGGGCGGCAGGGGTCACACGCCCGTCCCACAGCAGCCGGTGCGCGCCGGCTGGACGCCGCGCCAGACGGCCCACGTCGGCCACACCTTTGGGAGTCCTTGGATTGGTGTTGGTCCGCGCATGGAGTGTTACGCTCTGAGCCGTGATGCGGATTTGCGGTGAGATGCAGCGATGACAAACAATGACAGAGAGTGCTAACGCTGTGAAAGGTGGGGGATCTTGTCAGCGCCCAGGTGGTTGTTTTACCTTTTGATAGATTGTTGACATCGTGCGCAGCAATAACACAAAGTATATATAATGCAATAGTAGATGAGTAGATATGGTAGAAACGCAGGCTCAAACGAGTTTGAGCAGAAAGGCAGTATTTTTTTTCAGGCAGCATTTTGAGCGAGCAAGGAGGGCAAATGATTACCGTTACCGCCCAGCCCGGCAACCATTCTCACTCTCCTCACCACTTCATGCCCCTTGTTCTGACCCTCTTCAAGTCAAATCTCAACAACATTCCGTCACTCCTCCTCTTCTACCAACACCTTCTCCAGTGCCTCCTACACTCTCCTTCACCTGGACGGGTACCGCCTCCTTCCCTCCAATCGTAGTGTAGCTGGGCGTGCACCAACTCCCTCCCTCCGCCCCCGCGTAGCTGGGTGGGCACCGCCTCCTTCCCTCCAAGTGTAGTGTAGCTGGGCGTGCACCAACTCCCTCCACTCGCCGCCCGCGTAGCTGGGTGGGCACCGCCTCCTTCCCTCCAAGTGTAGTGTAGCTGGGCGTGCACCAACTCCCTCCACTCGCCGCCCGCGTAGCTGGACGGGCACCGCCTCCTTCCCTCCAAGCGTAGCGTGGCTGGGCGTGTACCAGCTCCCTGCCTCCGCCGCCGCGAGGCTGGACGGGCGCCAGCTCCCTCGCCGGCGTACCTGGATGGGCAGCTTCTCCTTGCCGCGGCTGACGTCGTTGCTGAGCACGCGCTCGCCGCGCCGGGCGCCGCTGCGGCTGGCCAGCTGGCTCAGCTCCATGTTGAGCAGCAGCGCCTGCTGCGTCTCGGAGCGGTCCCGACCGCAGCAGTCCAGCGCCAGCATGCCCTCGCGGTTGCGCAGGTACACGTTGGCGCCGTGTGCCAGCATCAGCAGCACGCACTCGTAGTGTTGCTGACGGGACGCGATGTGCCTGCGAGCCAGAGACACGGCGGATGGGGCGACGGGGCAGCGCAAGCGCGTCACATGGCGTCAGGCTTCAGTACGGAAGTGTCGTACCCAACAGGTTGCCGTGTTCACACGTGATGCCTCATGTGGCGGCGCGGTCTGTAGTATCCAATCAGCTAAGTGACGTCCATAACCCTGAACTGTCACCACGACTTGTAGAAGCTCAGACTACCACAACTGTCTCCGCCATTTGTAATTATATCACCTGCACTAAAACTAAGTATAATACATTAACTGCGGGCGCCATCAGCCGGCAATAGCACTAGCAAACTCCCCGTACAATATTCATTGCGTCGACCGCGGCGCTGTCACTCACAGGGGGGTGTCGCCGTGGACGTTTGGCGAGTTGACCTGGCAGCCGGCCGTCAGGAACAGCTCGGCGATCTCCATGGAGCCGGAGTAGGCGGCCCAGTGCAGGCCCGTGTTCTGCTCCTCGTCGCACAGCTGCGGGTTCGCCCCACGCTCCAGCAGGTACCTAACGCGCGGCGCACGATGTCACAGCGGGGCACAGCACGGCACAGCGCGGTACAACGCGGCACAGCGGGGCACGGCACAGTGCGGTGCAGCACGGCACAGCGCGGTACAATACGGCACAATGGGGCACAGCACGTCACAGCGCGGTACAACACGGCACAGCGGAGCGCAGCACAGCACAGCGCGGTAGAGCACGGTGCAGCGCGGTGCAACACGGCACAGCGGGGCACCGCACAGTACAGCGCGGTACAACATGGCACAGTGGGGCGCAGCACGTCTCAGCGGGGCACAGCACGGCACGGTAGGGTACAGTATGGCACAGTAGGGTACAGCACGAAACAGTGAGGCACAGCACGGCACAATGGGGCGCAGCACGGCACAGTGGGGCACGGCACGGCACAATGGCGTACAGATCGACACAGCACGGCACAGAAGGATACAGCACGGCACAGTGAGGCAAGGACGGCAGTGAGGCGCAGCACGGCACAGTGGGGCAGGGCACGGCACAGTGGCGTACAGCACGACACAGCACGGCACAGTGGGGCATAGCACGGCACAATGGGGCACAGCACGACACAGCACAGCGCAGTGGGGCACAGCACGGCACAGCGGGGCACAGCACGACACAGCACGACATAGCACGGCACAACGAGCAGCCGTCCCGCTCCGGACTAAGGAATGACGATAGAGCCTGTGGTGGCAAAGCTGTCAAGAATTAACATATTTTTCGAAGATCATCGTACGCTTACGTTTAACCAGATATGCGCCCTGCAGCACCACTTGCAGGTATTGTAATGCAAAGCTTCGGTGTTCTCTTAACCACTACTATATACCTTGTTTACCATAATGCAAGCTGTGTGCGGTATTCCGCACAACACACCGCATCAGCAGCACGTAGAGCTGAAGTTCCACTGGCGGCACCACGCGAACCGTGGTGCCGAGTGAGTAAAATATCACCTGCGAGCAGTACACAGACAAATGCAGCGTTGCTCGTCCATTCGTTACATCGGACTGTGACGAACGTAATTGGCGATGCAGCGCGTGCCGTTCCCGCAGCCTATTTGGTACCGCGCAGGGGAACGGCCATTGTGTGGGAGGCAGACGGGCTCGCGCGCCACAGGCCACGCTCGTGGTAGCCAACGGTGATCCAGTCTCGGCCGGTCAATATGGTCACGCTGGCACGGGACGGCCTCCTCATAGAAAGGCACCGCTAGTGTGGTAATTAAGCGGCGCGTCTGGAAAACCAGAGGTACGGATCTTCAAGCGTGTCAGGCCCTTTCTACCATGGTGAGAGCCAGGCAACACCATATAGCCTCAGCAGCTAAGTGAGTCACAAAACCCCACTGACGACGTCACTCGCGTGGCTCGTGGTTATGGCATGACACGCATAACGCTGCGCGCCCCATTCTCTCTGAGAAAATGGCCCGTGCGACTGGCATTAATGTGTTGGAGTGGCGGGGTCAAGCGACTCGTGACGCGGTGTCTAATGTGCTTTGTAATGAGTCTGCTCCCGACACAGGGCTTTCGAAAAGGCTTCAAAACAAACGAGAATCTACTCGATCGCACCCAGCCAGTTCTAACACGGCGCTCCGGTCCGGTGGTGCGGCGCTCCGCGACACGCCCTCTGACCTTTTGTGAATGGAATAATGGAGGTACGCCTTCCGGTTCCAATGGATTTCAGTTCAGAGCCTTGTTTGGTATTGTTCTTCGCTGTTGGCACGGGCCGTGCGGCTTCTGAGCTCATTGATTGAGGGCTGTGGCGTTACATAAAGCACGCGGTGGCACCTGCACAGCTAAATAATTCAGCCGTTGCTCCATTATCGAAAGAAAGACGACGAAGAAGCGTTTATCACGACTAGCAGGCAGCAGCTACTTTCAAGTAACTCCAAATTACGTGCCCAAGCCAGGCTTTACAAGTGAACGACTTTGATCCGGCCGCAGCACGCCACGACATTCATGTACTGCAAGCACCCACGTACACCGTAGTAGTAGTAGTAGTACACCGAGAAGATTCCCTTCATGAACAAGTCACACAGTCTTCTTGATTGTGGTCATGGGAATGCAGGCACAAGATGCGGGTGGCTGCTCAGAATGACTTGCAGCTTTCAGGACAAAACAAATAGCTCTTCTGCTGGGTTTTCTGCTGGCTTAATGAGCGTCCCCTTCTAGACCTTTAAAAGCACCGACCGGCAAGACATCCGAATGTTTCGCGTTCGCCGGCTCCAGGCAACGCAACAAGACTGGGTTTGAGTGTTCCTGACATGCGTATGGGTCACATGCTGGCGAGCGCACTGTTCGTGCGTCAAATCTACGAGCCAAGTAGTGAGTAGCCGGGGCCAGACGAACATCACAGCCGAACTACGTAATCCCACGCTTCACAATCCCGTCTGTGTTCGTGTTGGGACCGGTGGCGACCACGCCCACCGGCACGGCGGCCTGCCCGCAGACGGCTGGCGGCGCGCGTTCGGGTCCACCGGCCCCGTCGGCCCGAAACCTACTTGACGACGGCCGGGTGTTTGTGCTCGGAGGCCCAGACGACCGGCGTCCAGCCGCCGTCGTCCTGCAGGTTCACGTATCCGGACTCGGTGCGGCCGCTCGACAGCAGGTAGTGGCAGCCCTCGATGTTGCCCGCCTGCGCCGCCAGGTGTAGCGGCGTCATGCCGTCTTCGCCCTGCCGGCCGCCGCGGCGACGTCACCGTCTACGGACGGACGCAACCAGACCACGTGCGGCCCTCGACCTCCGGCTGAAGGCAGCCGCGGCAGGCGAAGGTGCATGCGCACAAAACACGCGTAATACCCGAACATAATCACCCAGAGTACACAGCAGTCGGACCGGAAATGACAAGCAGACACCATAGCGGCGACCTTGGTGACGCGAACTCGACACCGGACGAGGTCACCGTGCCGTTGCAAGGCACGCAGTGACAGCACCTGGCATTGCCCGCCGAGACGACACCTAGGCACCGGACGTGGCGACAGTACGTCGTAAGTGTGGGCCTGGCCACACGGTACACCAGTGGAGGGGGCGAGGGTACCTTGGCGTTCAGCGCGCCGCCGGCCGTCACCAGGTATTTGAGCACGTCGTTCTGGCCGCGCGAGGCGGCCATCATGAGAGGCGTCTGCAGGTCCCGGTCCACGGGGTCCAGACAGGCGCCGGCCGTCACCAGCACGTGCGCCGCCGCCACGTGGCCTTGCTGCACGATAAGGTGCAGCGCCGTCTGGTGGCCGCACTCGCGGTACTTCTGGTTGGGCGACCAGCCCTGGGCTGGCGAGAGGTCAGCGCGCCGGTCAGTCGAGAGGTCACTCCGCCGGTCAGCCGCAAGGTCACTGCGCCGATCAGTCGAGAGGTTAGCCCAACAGTCGGTGGAGACGTTAGCACACCAGTCAGTCAAGAGGTTAGCACACCAGTCAGTCGAGAGGTTAGCACACCAGTCAGTCGAGACGTTAGCACACCAGTCAGTCGAGACGTTAGCACACCAGTCAGTCAAGAGGTTAGCACACCCGTCAGTCGAGAGGTTAGCACACCAGTCAGTCGAGACGTTAGCACACCAGTCAGTCGAGACGTTAGCACACCAGTCAGTCAGGTTAGCACACCAGTCAGTCAAGAGGTTAGCACACCAGTCAGTCAAGAGGTTAGCACACCAGTCAGTCGAGAGGTTAGCACACCAGTCAGTCGAGACGTTAGCACACCAGTCAGTCGAGACGTTAGCACACCAGTCAGTCAAGAGGTTAGCACACCAGTCAGTCCAGACGTTAGCACACCAATCAGTCGAGAGGTTAGCACACCAATCAGTCAAGAGGTTAGCACACCAGTCAGTCGAGAGATTAGCACACCAGTCAGTCGAGGGGTTTATTGAAGTCAACTGCCAGATCAAGATCAAGATCAGACCATATAAGATCACCAGAAATCAGATCAGATCAAAGATCAGATCGAGAGGTCAGCTGGCTTCGATAAGTTAAGCTGGCTGCTCGGCCGCAGTTTTCGTTCCCTGGCTACCAAAAGGCAAATAATTGAGCGGGCAACAACGATCTCGTTGAGTGTGCTTGCTCAATGCCAATTTCAATATGCAACGGTGTTGGCTGGGGCTCTTATGCCCACGGCGCACCCACCGATCATCATGAGCAGTTTGTCCAGGTCGCAGCTGCGGAGTATCTTGAGCTGGTCTTTGATGCCGATCTTGGCCTCGCCGCCTATGGAGGCGGCCGCCTGCGTCACAGCCAGCAGACTCTGCTCCAGCTGGTCCCTGGCGAACAGTGGTCACGCTGTACGGCACAACAGCCCTGCACGGCACGGCAACGAACGCTCGAAGGCGAGGGATTAACACCGAACAGCGTCCAGTGTTGAGTCTCGGATCGGGCACGGACACGACGCACGAATTGCTCTCCTATCATGCACGGTCCGTGTAATGAGGACTAAACGCGATACATCCATAGCGCGGCATATTCACCGAAACGCACTGTTTCATCTGCGCGGCGACACCATCTCAGATGTCCTGTCTTTCTGCCTAGTCCGGTGGAGTCCTGACCGATGCGCCGGGCGTCGGCTTCTGCAGAGTGCAATCTTTCGTAGTATATCGCCTCCTTAGCCCAGTTCCACGGCGGCGTCCTCCCATACTCACCACACCCCTACTGTCTGGTCACATGGCATCCCCCTGCGCGGACCACCTGCCCCTCCCCTCCTCTCGCCGCACCCCCTCTTGCCCGGCCCCACGGCATCTCGCCCCGCGCGGTGCGGGGCATCCCCGCCTCCCGCCGCGGCGCCTCACCGGTCCGGGCCGACGGGCAGTCCAGTTGGCGGCCAGCACACGTCCGTCGGGCAGCGTCAGCCGGTAGGGACTGAGGTGGGCCGACGGACGGCTGAAGCCGCCGGCCGCCGAGCCCAGCTCCAGCTCGCGGCTGAACGCCATCCGTGCGCTCCGGCTACCGGACAGAGCGGGGCCACACAGCGTCAGCGGGGGTGAGAGAGACGGACGGCGGGGCCGACGCCACACGGCCTCAGCGGGGGTGAGCGAGACGGACGGCGGGCAACGCCACACAGCGTCAGCGGGGGTGAGCGAGACGGGAAGCGGGACGGACGGCGGGGCGGCGCTACACAGCGTCAGCGGGGGTGAGCGAGACGGACGGCAGAGCGGCGCTACACAGCGTCAGCGGGGGTGAGCGAGACGGACGGCAGAGCGGCGCTACACAGCGTCAGCGGGGGTGAGCGAGACGGACGGCAGAGCGGCGCTACACAGCGTCAGCGGGGGTGGGCGAGACGGACGGCAGAGCGGCGCTACACAGCGTGAGCGGGGGTGAGCGAGACGGACCGCGGAGCGGCCGGCCGTTTCGTGAGCTGCGAGAGGGGGTGACGCGCGCAGCACCTGGAAGCCCCGGGCGGGACATGTCCAGGCTCGGTGGCTCGTCGACAGTAGCCAGTCCAGAGATAATGTGGGCATCGAAGCAAATGCCGCGCCAACAGCTGCGATCTAGCATGGGTTCCACAGAAGGAGGCCGACAAAGGGACCTTGTACGGCGTCCGACGTACACCTCGTATAACCGACTAGCTGCACATTACAGTAAGTAACGCTAATGCACCAGCCATCCCGTGGTATCCCTAATGCCATCAGCGCACAAAGAGCAGTCAGGGTGCATTTCAGAGCAGCAATACTGCAGGTCTGGTCCACAGCGGACACTGGCGGTACAGCGTACCGCGGTGGGTCCAACACGCCGAGGACAGGTGTGACAAACATGAATGTCAGGTGGGCGTGCCGTCACGCACGGCACAAATCACCTGGGTGAAAACATCTTGCCACTTAAATGCGAAATGATCGCTTTGGCGAAAACGTCCGAACAAATGCGTTGCCCATCCAGCGCCTAGTAAAAGCTAGTGGTCGCACAGCGGCGACTAGGCGGTGGTGTGCTGCCACGCGGACAGGTTCGTCAATATAGTACGTCGCGAGCATTTAAGCATTAAAACACCATCATGTCCTGATTCGTTGGCGGTAGAAGGAACGAAATATCATACCTTCTGTCACATGCTTGATATAATTAATATGCCGGAGTTAACGATCGCATCAGTGAGGCTTCCCATTCAGTCCACCACCCAGTGAGAGACAGCGCGGCCTGCGCACGGGAAAATGTGTGTGAACAGCAGTAGTGAATGCGAACACACTGCTCAGTGATGCAGTCATTGTAGATGGTGAAATATGGTAACTATCATGAGTTCAAAGCTCTTATGTTGAGCAAACGACCATAAAACTTCGTATCCGCTTACATACGAAGTCGAGTGAAATGGAAGTTTTTAATGCTGACATTACCATACCTTGGCCAAATTTTCGACCTCGCTTTCCATGTTTTGTTTATCAACAACTGCTTTAACTTGTCTTAATTACTACCTCAATTTTTTCATATTCATGCCTTCCAGGTAAATATCTTAACAACGCTCATTTCAGCTAGCCTTCGATACAATACATATTTCACAACCATTAAAACCGCTAACTCCACTAACCATCTAACTATCTCACGAATACCGCGAAATCTGTATGCTCTCAATGTCAAGTTAATTGTTGTTCATTCGCCTGGTTTCCGCTTCCAGCCATGGAGAGATCATGCCTTGGGTCTGCTTGCAATCTTAGCATTAAATCCTCCTAACCTGCCATCTCTGTCTCAAAACAGCACAACCACAGGCATGGGTATCGATTTGTGTCCTTTGGGGTGGGTCGCTGCCCCTCCCCAATGTCCGACTAGGCCCCCCAATGGTGAGATTGCCCCCCAACCCCCTAGAGATTTAGTGTAAATTTGAAGTGGGATCTCAAAATTATACGAATTTTAGAGAAACTTTCTAAGAGATGTTTCACAGATAAAGCAAATAAGACAATGAAAACAGCGATATTTTGTCGGCTGGAGTACACGCGGTTGAGCTAGTCAGTTTTAGACCTTCGCGGTTATGCTGTAATTACTTGATTATTTTCTGTATTCGCTGCACACTGCATGATTTTGATTACAAAATGCATGTCTTGTCGACGCTGGTCTAGTTTTCTTGTATGACATTGTTCAGCGATGTTTTATCTTCTACAGCTTGCGACAACTTGCGTCATACTGCCTCGACGCCCTATCCAAAGCTGTAGAAACGAACAACGCTGGGTTTCCTCCGTGGATCATCGGTCAATGAAAACAAACCGGTCCCATATCAGCACATCAAACCGCGACGATTCTATTAGCTGTCTAGATTCGGAGAACCCTTGACACGTGCCAACCTTCACTTCGACGTGAACTTTCACTGGGACAGTTTCAAAAGCCCACCGATAGACACTCGCCGACTAAACCGGTAGCGGTAACAGTCCGGCAACGACCACCACCAAAACGAAAGAGGCCGTGTCGAACAAACTCGGCTGGAAGGTTACCTTCCAGGCTGCAGTCCACCCTGCGCTCGAGGGCTTCCGTAGAAGCCCCGAACAGTGGCGCACACCAACACTTTGTATCCCGAAGCTGTGCACGCGAAACATCATCTAAGCCACATGACAACGGCCTGATCTGCTACATCGGTCCTGTGACGATAGCCAGAAGTTGACTTTGATCGTCAACGCCAAACAAAGCAATTCTGCTGCCCGACGGCATCTTCTGCCGATGCAAAGCGAAAAAACGTGGTGGTGCATGGATGTGGTCTCCTATGCAGTTGTTGCCTATTCAGTCCAAACCATTCAGCCGTTTCCTATTCAGTTGCTTCCTATTCAATCCAGTCCTGCCTCCCTCCAACTCAGAGACGGACGTGAGTCAAATCGGGGAGAAGCCTGCTTTTCGTGCATTCTGGGGTAAGTTGAGCCACTTTTTCCAGGTCATTGCCCAAGCCCTTTCTGCAAAACCACATCCCTGTGGTGGAGCGTTAATGATCATGACACGCGACGGATTCACTGCCGCGTTTGTTCAGCATCCAGCCTATAGCACAACTCCAAAACAGTAAGCGTCTGGACCAAGGAACAGGTGGATCAAAATCGCTGTAAAGCGGTCAAAAGTATACACCAGCCCCGTGGATGTACCGCAGTTTTCATGGATCTCAGCCATATTGAAGACGAATTGTAAGCCGAAGCGTGTTCCCGCGCTATACAGTGCACACAAATAAGATGTCCAGTTAAAGCAAATGAGACCTACGAAATTGCAATGTTGGTTTACAGCTGTTTTATGTTTCTATTACATACATGTGAAAACTGCATTTTTGGAACACAACTCCAAAGAAAACGAGCAGGCCATGATTAAAGAAAACCACCAAAACAAATTTCATAGAGGCAATAGCCACGCACACCAATGGGGCGTTGGAGCAGACATCTGCATTCCTTTTAACCGCTGGCTAACACCTGTAGTCTTGGTGACGAGTCCTTGGTTCAAGCCTATAGGCGGCAGGCTTGCTCCCCCCCCCCCCCCCTCATCATCCTCGCCCCTACCCTCCCCTATCAGCCCGTGCTATGAAAAATTGCGAATCGGAGTGAGGCTGAAGACACGTAACACTGCTATTCTCATCAAATTCAGACATTTATTTGCTATTGTTTTGACTTCCCATCAGGCACCGTGGGGTCTGGGCAGTCTATGTATCGAGCACAGCCCAGTGCCAGAAATATCCAATGTTTCTTTGTAAAATATGTCACGAACCATCCAGCCACGTACACAAATGTACGAAATACGCCCATAACGTACCTGCAGTGATCCCAATGCACCTTCTCGTGCAATATCTCGCGGTTTGTACCTTCCCCGTCCACTCGCCCACACGCGTCGAAAACCTTCCCATCAGCATGGGTTTCACGCCTCTTACTTACAAGCATTGGCACCACCCCACGTCATGCAAAAGCCGATCATGCGCCGGAGAGCCTACGGAGTGGACACGTCTTCGAGGCAACCCGAGGCAGGCGACAGCGAACAAAAACAGGAGAAGCAAACACGCCCGTTCTCCGAAACGGCTCGTCCGATCGCCTTGAAACCTTCACCAATCGATTCAGTGCGATGAGGTGAGAATGAAGTGCCAATGTCGTGTCCTGACCTGGGGCCAAACATCTGAAAGACGCCAAATGAATATTTTACATACGAGAGCAAACAACTCAAACCTCAGAGCCTACTAAGCCCATCGCTGCGAAACCTTCGCCATTGGATGTGCCATGCTTGATCCCTTCTAAGTTGAAGGTTAGGCGACTCTGCGTCATGTTAAAGGTCATCAAATTTCACAAATTCCAAAATTCTTGCCTGCAGACATTCATATTTCATGGCTTATTCCTCCGATCGTCTCCAAACCTTCACCATTCTATGGGACATACCTTGCAGCTGCAATATGCCATGAAGCCATCCGCTATTATTTTTGGGGGTGCCGAAGTGTCGTGCACATTAAAGCAATAACATTTCATAACATCTTGTGCGCAAATGCAAGGGCATCGTCTCCTCTTTCGTGAGCAAACGCACGCAATGTACCTTGCACAAGACATATCCAATTTTCGACACGTTTGAGAGTCGTGCTCACACATCGACACGGCTGCGACGACGCACACGCTGAAGCTCGAAGTTTCCGTTGATTCCAGCACTGAAGTCTTTCCCGTCACTTTCGTCGTCGTTTGCATCTAGGACTAGTACCTCGGTGACAAGCTATGCACAGAATGCAGAAAGCAAGGCCCCATGAAGGATTCTGAGGACACTGACCAAACCAGCCCACAGCTCCGACTGCAACAGGGAAACAGGTACTGCATATCCAATGGCGAAGGTTTCGGAGACATCAGTGCAATAGGGTCTGAAAACTGAGTTGTCTGCGAGCAAGAATTTGGGAGCGTGGTAAATTTGATGCGTTTTACCCGACCTACAGCCATCACACTTTCGGCTGCAAGAGGGAACCAGGTAGTTCATAGTCGGTGGGAAAAGTTTCGCCGCGATCGACGCAGTGCGCTCCGAGATCTGAGTTGTCTGCTTTTGCATGTGAACTTCCCCCTTTAGCGTTTTGAGATGCTTGATCTAAGGTCAGAACTAGATACTGACACCCCAATTGCTCACGTGGAACCGTTTCGGAGAACAAGCGTGTCTGCTTCATATGTCCTTTGTAGTCCCTGCCGAGAAAGGCGCAAAATTCCCGGCCATGGCGTGGCTGCCTGTGAGGGGTCCCGGGGAAGGCCCCGGGGACGTCTCCGGCCCGGCTCCGGCACGAGGAGACGCCATTGTATACAGGGTTGGCGCGGATGTGGCGTATTCAATATTGCGTAATGAGAGCACAGTTGAAGCCGGACCCGATCAAAAGCGTTTGCGATCGTAGTGTGGGTGAGGACGGATGGGGTACCGTTGGTGGATATTTGCGAGAAAATCGTTTGAGACGGTTTGTTGGACGATATAAATTAATATGCCGCATCTTGCACCTCTTGCTTAGTGCGGATCATGATTGTGTGGTTTGTTTAGAGCTGCGACAGTTAATTCTTTACAATATAAAATCCGGAACATACATTTTAATGAGCTGAATTCCCTGACAACATACTAAAATTCCACCTCTGTTCCATACACCAGGAGGTGCTGGTTAAACGGCGTCGTAAAGCTCTAAATAACACTTATATTGATGGCGCTCAACATTTTCCGCTGAGCTCATCCTCATAAGCGAAAAGGGTCCAGAAAAGTTCCGTAAAATACTACACTTGAAAATCTTAAGTTGAAAAACTTGAAGCCGTTAACCCGACACCGAATTTGGACTCAACATTCTGACCACACAGATAACACGCCTCCGTGGCAGAGAAAAGGGTGCCTTCAAGGAGATGACTTCGTCAGAAAAATTAGGCTAGCGGAGAGAGATCCGCAAACGCCGCGCAGCTAATCCGATAAACTGCGAGCAAGACGCTCGTGGGGCGCACTAAAAGCATGATTACTTTAAAGACGAACAAAACAAGCAACGCAATGTCATCAGATTTAAAGCCTGTGCCTTTCAGAAGTACACAAAAATCCACCTTCCGCCACAACTTTGGTTTGTGGTGATAATTTCCCCTCGTTATCCGAGAAACACCTCGGATAAGATTTCAGTTGTTGTGCCTCGACCAAATTGCTTTCCTCGCTACAACACCACACCACCACCACCTCATACCCTGGGGCTGAAAACGGCAGGCGCCTTATGTAAGACTCACTTAGCCTGTGGCTTTGCTGGTAGTGACAGCACACCCACCACGCACAGCACACAATCACTCCGCAGACCTCCCTCCCCCCACCCCCCCCCCCCCCCCCCCTCTCCTTCTCCGGTAGCGAGACCACAGCCCCGCTGCCTCCGCACTGCCGGGCGAGCGTGGCGCGCGCGCGCGCCGCCGGCCGGCCGTACCTCTTGCTGACGGTGCCCTGCTGGTGGTAGAAGGTGGGGGTGCGACCAGTGCGGATGGTCAGCTGCACCATCCGCAGGTCGTCCATGTTGCCGCAGTGCGAGCACATCAGCAGCTCGCCCACCTGCGCCGCGCACTTCCGGTGGAAGAGGTGCGGCGAGCACTCGTGCGTGCACCGCATGAATATGCCCTGCGGCGGACGCCAGCCCCGGCGCCGGGTCAGGGCATGGTCGGCAGGGGTCGGCGCGCGACACAGCCGCTCGCGCCGCCGGACCGCCACACGGAGGACCGTGCAGAATGACATGGGCGAACACGCATCTCCGGCACTCATTACTTTATGGAGACTTGAGCTGGCTATCGGAGATAGTTGACAGTGATGAGTCCAAGGCAGAGTAGCCCTAGTGACCGCCGCGGAGTTGACACGGAGGCCGAGAGCAGGACGCCGGACTTCGTTACGCCGAGGTTCAGTCCCGATTTGCAACACCGACAATATCAAAGACAAATGGCGCGTGCAGAGGACGCAAGCCCATGACAACAGAGCTAAGTTCGGCCAGTGGCGTGAAACATGGAGCGAAAGTGTTGTGGTGGGAAACGCAACAGTAACGAGGTTACATTCATATCCGCTCGAGACATTTGAGAGTTGTCTGCTCTGAGCCCAGATGATGCCAAAAGGGCTGTCACGAGGCTCACCTGAGTGCAGAACACGCCGCAGGACGGACAGCAGTGGTGTCTGCGCATGCGCTCCCGGTGCAGGCCGCACATGAGCAGAAACGGCACCTTGAAGCTGGGGCGGATCATCCTGAAAACATCGCCGCCGTTTAAAGCACAAGCGCATATCAACGGAACACGCAACCGAAGCCGTGCAGAACCACATCGTTTCTGTCTACAGCGTCTGATAACAACCCTTGTAACGATGCGTGGAACGTCTAGCGAGGACAAAGAGCCATCTCTGTTCCGGAAAAGCGCCCCGAACTATGGACGCGACGGTTATGTCGAAGCTGTTGAATGCGAAAACATGAGAGCACTGGCGATCCCACTCTCCTCTGAATATTCTGCTTAGGTCCTGCAGTCCTCTGACCCCGCGCGGTGTCCAGGCAAGGCCAACAAACCCTCCCACTAGCTGCCTCCTCCCCGTCACGCCACCATCATCAGGAGTCAGAGGCACGAGTTTCGACTCCTCGCGGTGCCCGTCCTTCCTGCCAGGGCGAGAAACAGGCTACGTCATAAAGCCTCAGCAGCGCAGTGAGTCGCAGCGTCCCAAATGGCACGTCATCAGCAAACGCGGCCGGCCGGCGCCGTCACCCCGCGCTCCGGCCCGCCACAGACGCCGCTAAGCCCCGGCGCGCGCACGCCAGCGGACCGGCACCGTTTGGTGGTGACCAGGTTGCAGCAGCCGACGAGACGACCGTCGATAGCGTCAATGCCGCGGCAGTAGTAGTCACGCTTGGCCAGGTCCAGGTCGGCCAGCGGCGTCTTGGCTTCGACGCACTTACACGATATGCTTGTCAGGACCGGGTCCATCTGCGCACAGGCGGCGGCGCGAGGCGGTCACGAGAGAGACGTGAACTTAACGAAAGGACCTGGTGCTACGCGACGACGCTGTGCGAGGGCCCAACCACAGGCAGCGGGAAGACTTGAGACAGACGAGCCCAGAACCATTGGTGTCGGCCGGCCGCATCGATTGCACCGAGCCCGGGCGGAACCAAACGCCACCGCCTGGACTGCAACAAACGGGCGTGTCCGCGGCCCACACCGCCCCCGCCAGCCCAGCCGGCCGGGCGGCGCGGTCCCACAGCACACTCACCATCTTGGCGGGCGGCACGGTGCCCTCTGGCGGGGCGGCCTCTCCCGCGCCGCTGCCGCCGGTGACCGAGCCGGCCGGGCTGCCGGTCAGCGAGTCGCCGCGCGCCAGCCGGCTGTACGGCACCGCCGGCTGCGTGACGCTGCTCCGGCGCAGCTTCACCGCCGACGCCACCGAGCCGTTCACGTCCGCGGGGTCGCGGATCACTGCGGCGCAGGCGGGCGTCAGGGGTGGCACCGCAGGCGGCCGCCGCGGCTGGCGGCCAGCCCCTCCGTTACGGCCCCCATCCAAATGGCGATAAGCCTGGATTTGAACAGAGTCAGCAGTGGTATGTTATGTGGCAAATAGAAAACATAAAATCCTGCCAGCGTTTGAAAGGTACCCAGTGTGTCATAAGCAGGGATCAAATAAAAAATAATGGATAATAATTGAGCCACAATCGTGTGATGTAAACCACGACAGCGAACTAATGGCGGGCAACTGGGGTGTGCGATAGTCCATACACGGTACTGAGTACCAGGTACGTATTGTTGGGTAAGAGTAATACAACAAGACTTCACCAACCCATGGCTAGGGATCTCAGGTAAACATAATTACCTTCCTCGTCTTCGAATTCGTCACTGGAACTATCAGGACTTATATCACGAACAGCACTCGGAATGAACGACTTCTTCTTCAGTATCACCTGAGGTATGCTTTTCCTAGCCTTCCCCTTTAACAACATCTCGCGAATGTCATCCCTCGTCGCATCTACCTCTTGAGCGCAGAGGTTTTGTTCAAGCTCTTCAGGGGCGACATTTTGAACATCAAACATATTTCCCTCAACGCTCTTGTGCCCAGCTTCCGGAATGGCAGTAACTCCAATTTCTTCAATAGCTTCATCTCCAAGTTCTTCTGCAGCTTCAGCATCAATTTCATCTCCAGCTTCAGCATCCATTTCTTCATCAACCTCTTCTGAGTCTTCACCAAGCACTTCCTCCAATTTTTTAGCTTCTGATGGATTCAACTCTTTTACATAGCAGACACCCAACTCATCCTCCTGAGCAGTCTCCTCCTTTTTCACCCTCTTTCTCTTCCGCCCAAATGAGTAACTCAGTCCCTTAAACGGCTTCTTTTTCTTCTTGCCCGTCTTGGTAAGCAGCGCGGCCGCCCTGTTCTTGGCCGTGATGTTGGCCGGCTTCCGGAACTTGATGAGCTTCTTGACTGGCCGGCCGGCAAGAAGCGCGTCCGGCTGATCCGGGGACCGGTGCCGCTTCCCAAGCGGCTGGTCGACGGGCCCCGGCAGCGGCGGGCTCGGCGCGGCCGCCTCCCTGCGCCGCGACCTGTCGGCACGTGAGCTCGGGTCAGCGCGGCGGAGCTCGGCGGGCCGGGCAACGGTCGGCGCGCGGCTGCTCGCCCGTCGGCAGCTGAGCGCTGTCAGTAGGCGGCCTCTGTGCTGTTGCTCCGCCATCAACCCAATGGTCACGGTCCCGCACCAGTGGCGCTCAGGTGAGTAAAACTATCCGTAGAACGGATACCCTTGGGGAAGGGCGTCGGGAACATTGCCCCAGTTGTCTGTCGAGAATGGTCTACAACACACAGCTTCCTCTTACAGCTGAGTCTCAGGTTGGTCCGATATCTCGAGGACGTCAATGTAATAAGGGCATGACAGCACAACAAACACAAGGGCATTTCAGAACCTTTACCATAGCAAGCTGCTGCAGAACCTGGCAGAAAATTGTGGCCTGATGCCAACCCACAGTAATTACTGATGGACTCTGGTGCCCAATGCAGAGGCTGGAGCTGGCCTTTGTACCTGCGCCGCTCGGTCTCCCCGGACTCTGAGCCGCCCTCGCTGGCTGAGTCATTCAGGCGCCGCCGCAGCTGCCTGGCAACAGCCAGCTCAGCACCAGCATCAGGCCCGCCAGAGTCATCTGGCCTTTTCATTGCCCTGCACACACACACACACATAGTTATATCGCAGGACACCTACAGGTGGGGCTTGGTCTAGAAACCAATCATTTGGAACCGTCAGTGGCAGCATTGGTGCTGCTTGTTCATGGTGTCCAGTTTCTGATGAATCATGCTTTGTGGACCCATAAATATCTCACAGCATTGGCATGGCCATCTGATGAAGTTGACACAGCTTGATGTCACTGCAAGCATGTCAGTCTGCTGATGATGTCACCATTCCATCATGGCAGCCCCAAAGTGAGCAATACCAGACTCCCATGTTTGCACACCACTTTACTTTCTCTCCTGCAACTGAACTGTCAGTGATGAAAAGGTCAGGCCCTATTATGGCTGAAGCAATGCTGGCAAGCCACCTGTAAATTATTTGTGGGTAAAGCCTGCTGGATGACAGCTTATCTTTACATCACCTTTCAGCACTCAGCTTTTGAGCTGTACTTGGGAAAGATGAGACTTTCCATGCCAATCAATAAGCACTGGCATAACTTATCAACAAGGTACACATTCTGCATGCTGAACAATGCAACATAACAATGGGTAACCTAGACATATCTACATTAATTGATGCACCAAAGATAGCAACATAAAGATGCAAACAGATAACCATCAGGGATTACTGAAAGCTGTCCTCACATTCAGACTGTAAGAGGTGTAGCCCCCCTGCCCCCCCCCCCTCCCCTCCCCTCCTGCACAATGATCCCAAAATACCAATTGGTAGTTGAGCAAGCAAAACATGTAATCATTGTCCACTAGCTATGAAACAGTGATATGCAGCTTGCCAGTTGATATGCTAGTAGAAATGATAACCAGAAAACTGGTGGCATATTACACTGATTCTGTTTTGCACATGCTAAGTACAGAATATCATTATTCATAACACCCCAGTATGATGCATGAAGAACACTTCCTATAACCAATGTGCATTAAATTTGATTTGAAGTTTGTAGGATGCACTGAATTTCTTTCAAAACCAAGTAAAATATTACCTAAAGTATATCCAATGTAATCTTGTCACTGTGCCCAAGTACTTTGCACACCACAGCACAATCTTGACCTAAAGATGAGAAATCAGCAACTTAATTTTTTATTTGATTGGTCAATTTGTGATGAAATCAAAATCTTCCAAACATGCCAGTCTATTGTATCTACAACATTTTCAATGACAAGAATTAATAGATCCAGCATTATAGAAATGTTGTACAGATTCCACTACAAAAGAAATACAATTTTTGCAAGCGAAACTTCATAAAGACATTTTGTGATCATGTCAGCAAGCTAACCAGCAAATAGGGTTTAAGTTGAATATAATGTACTATTTGGGATAACCATTTTGCTTTTCTCATCATCTGCTATTTGACACATAAGTGGAGCTGGGCATTAAGTTGATCTACATATAGCATTAAGGATGACATGCTCAGGCCAGCCTGCAAAAAATGCAAATGACATCCAAACAGGTCCTGCATAACATTACCATAACAATTTCAGTACATGCATGAAATATTCTGAGCATTCAGTTTTATGTAAAATCAGCACCAATTTCAACTTAAACAGTCAAATTTTTCACAGCATTAAGGTTTATGGTTGCAAAACATACCCTGAGTTACCATAACCTGAGTGGGGTGGCTTACTTTCCAAATTTGGGCAGGATTCTCCATGCCCTAAACATCCCATTGACATGATTACTGTGGCTCACAGGCCAGTTTTCTCTCACTACAAATGTTGAAGTCCACAAATTATAACTTGAGGGTTCACTTTATGAGCGGATAAACATGAAATTTATATTTTGATTGAGTTCACTAACCGTGCCAGTCTAGGGACGGCCCGGCTTATCAACTCATGCAACGCCACTTGCCACACTGTTTTTACACTCTCCTCCGCTGGATCCACCGTAGACTTCATAAAAATAAGCTACTTTTCATTAAGTCATATCCTAGTCAAAAGCATTTAGTGACCCCCCCCCCCCCCCCCCCCCCCCCAATGCCACCGCTTACCGCCCTTCGCCTCTAGGCATGCGAATCAGTTGGGCGGCCGCCGAAAAATTGGAGGGAACTCGCCATCAGAGTGGTGTATTCAATTTTACTCAAGTGCGCCAGGCTTGCGCTATTCGAATTACACCATATTCAGTGTTTTTTGTTATACTGTTTGACATACTAGAAACATCACCTTCCTAGTACCTTTTGCTAGTAGGCACAACGCCCCGCCTAAAGCTATTTTACTCTCTTTCGTTGGAGTACCGACAATACAAATCTGCGTCTGTACTGGTCAGGTGTGGAAGTGGGTTGGCTGCGCACGGTGGGCGTGGTTTTTTTATAGATATCATCTGTTGGGAGATAAGGATTCGGGAATTGTTACCTCCGCACTGGTTTGTAAGAGAGGTACGTATCAGGGTGTCCTGGTGATGTTCTGTCCGTTGCGCCAAACGCACTTCATCATGGTCTTATTTATGCGCGAGTGCCCTTATGCCTTGCGTGGGTCAATCGGAACGACATGCTTTTGAAAATCCAGCAGGGCTTTGGACAGGGCAGCATTACAGTCAATTGTAAGCAGCGGTGACAACTGTGTTTGGTGTGTCACTGAAGCAGCTGCCTTTAAAGTTTTATTTTTTATCTTTCCAATGGTAAAGTCGCTGTTGTCCCCTCTACAGATGTGGAGGGCATGTGACATGTATAACTGTGCACCCTCTTGAAGTGCCATTGATGGGAATGAAAATTATTAAGCAGGCATGTTCCCCTTCACCCAACATGTTAATGTGGAGAATGGACAAAGCACTAGTACATTAACTTTTGTATTGTTATAATAGGAGGCTTGCGTGAGCTGCATTTTGGATATATCCAGGGAAATGTTGTCTCGGTCAAGGCAAAGTACAGGAAGTCCCTTGTAAAAAAATTATCCACTGCTGCCATAAGCCAGCATGATGTGCACTGAACCTGAACTGAACCTGGTGCTGATGTGAGCTGGTTGTATGCCAGGATGAATTATGTTGGATGTTCAAATTTAATACCTGTAATTATGCTCACAATGGAATTTCCTAAGGCATTTGCTCCTGCGCCAAAATTGATGGTGCTGCCGAATGCTGAGCTCTGATATTATCAGCATACTCCTCGGATGGGTGTTCTGTTGTTGCTGCCACTTTGGCACTGATGTTCAGATGTAACATGTGATGTTATCAGTTTGGCAGGAGTTTGCACTAGGGGCACAGCCAAGGCCCCACACAGCCCCACCTTAGGCCCACATTTGTATTTTTCACTTGATAGGACTTCTGACAGAAAGTTGGAATTCAGTGTGATGTGCATGCATACCAGTGAGCTCCAGACCAAGGAGCTTCATGAGTTACATAGCCTTGGCTCCATGAATATAAGTATGAAGTATGCAGGCCATCCAGGTATCACTTTGACCATACCAGTATTTCAACCAACATTGCCTGCTGCAGACATGTGACTGAATCTGAAGGGTGGATTCATGATCCTATTGGTTGTCATGATTACAGGATCCTGAAAGGGTTACAGTTTTATATCCAATTGCAGGTCTTGTCCCAGATCTTGACTTGAGAAGAAAGTTTGTCAAACCTGAGGATTAGCTTGTTTGTTGGCCTATTTTGTAGTCACATTAAGTCATTGTCTGCCCCCCCCCCCCTCCCCCTCACAAACTAAATTTGTAGAACTATGCCTAAGTATCCCAGGACACTTATGTGGGTGCCAGGCTCATATCTGGCATACTGCACTTTAAGTCCATGTTCCCCTCAGGTTTGTCCATTGTGAGCATGCACATAAGCTGCAGTGGTGGGCAGTTCAGTGTCAGATGACCAGAGCTGAAGTGAATGCTAAGGAACTGAACTCTAGTCAGCTCAGTTGGGTTTGCCTCCATTTTACTGCTAGAAAGCCCTGCCCCCCCCCCCCCCCTTTCTGCAGGAAGTATGTTATACAGCATGTTCACAATTAGTGTGCCCCTTTTTCCTCACAATTTAGCATGGCCCTTTTCCCTTCCATATTTTGTGCTTTCATTGCATCCCCACAGTTTTGTGTGATTTGTAACAAAGTGGACTGAGTCCTCATTTGTGGTACATGCTTGCTGGCCCAGTTATTATGAAAAGCATTTATGTCAGTCTTATTGCACTTACATAGGCTTGATCATACCACAGTCTCAGCATAAGGTGTGATTGTGCAGATGGTTTGGTTTGTTGCTCCGTCATACATTGGCTACTGCACCGAGATCCCGGCGTTGATTAGTGGGCTTGTATTTTGGCATCAGTCACCGGGCTGAGAAGGTGATGTCGGCCACTGGACTGAGAATGCAGCATGGGCCACTGGGCTGAGAATGTGACGTCGGCCACAGGGCTGAGATTTCGGCGTCGGCCACTGGGCTGAGATTTCGGCGCGTGCGGGCTGTCATGCTTGATGTGTCTGATGATGACTCTTCTGCTCTCCAGCTGGCCCATCGCTGGTGTGGTGTGTGTACCAACCATGGCGGACGGCAGGCTCTCCAACACGATCGTCGCCGCCTCGTGGCTGACGCTGCTCAGCATACTGGCCGTCGTCATCGCATTCGCCACGCCCTGCTGGCTGGAAACGGACGGCAGCCTGGACCATCCCAAGTTCGTGAAGCTCGGTACGTGGCAGGCAAGCTGATCAACAGAGTTCTTTTGGAGTCAGTTACTTCACCTTAAGAATGGGAAATTGGATGTCTGTCTTGCATAGTTTTCTGCAATGTGACGCCATTGAGTTGGCTGTTATACTGACAGTCATTGACTTAATTGATATTATCAATGCTATTTTTGAGATATAATCAGCAACCAAGCACACATTTTTGTAACACACTTGATCAAATTTACTGTTGGGCCACCGTGTGCATCGCTCATTCATGTGCGTCTGTGCCGTTTGTTATATCTGTTGTCCACGCAGCACAGTGACGTGGCTGCGCATGCGTGCAGTGGCTTATCAACGGCCCTCTGTCGGGCGATGTTTGCGGTGGTATATGATGAGACCCGTTCGTCACGTTTCCCGCACAGGGCTGTGGACCGTCTGCTTTGAGGATTTCCAAGAGCGACTACGACTGTACGAAATGAGGTTCTCGGGCTGCCGTTGGGTTCTGGACGAGGAGTACCAAATCATCGACTATCTGGTCCGACCACGTACGTTTTCTAGAAGTGTAGCTACAGCATTCCTGGTCTGACCACGTACATTATCTAGAAGTGTAGCTACGGCAATCCTGGTCCAACCACGTACGTTATCTATAAGTGTAGCTACGGCATTTCTGGTTCGACCACATATGCTTTCTAGAAGTGTAGCTACGTCGTTCCTGGTCCGACCACGTACGTTCTCTAGAAGTGTAGCTACGGCGTTCCTGGTTGTATTAAGGACGGGAGTGAACGGCCTGACTCGAAACAAAGCGAAACGAGCACTTAGGAGGCTGTAATTTAGGCATAAAAATGGCTGAAAATTGCCCGTTTGTATTCAGCTAATGTACCTTCAGCAGCTCTTGGGGTTATAATAGTGAGAAGCACTTTGTTTAGGAGGTTTCATGGTGACCTTTCGCTGTAGCATGTGTATTGTTGTGTTTTACATAAGCGACTACAGCTAACTAAACCATTGCATGGGCTATGCGAGCATCACGTTCCGCTCTACGTTGTGAAGCGTGAAAACCGCGTGGACTGCGCATTACTGCCACTAATGTGCGGACGCAGTACGGAATTTTGCCATCTGAGGGCACATTTGGAATCTTGTGGCAAAGACGCACCGAACGAAATGTCGCTGTTGTATACAAGAAAAGCATAGCAATAGGCAACAGCTAAGGCTGATGCCTCATCTACTCACTACCCTCAACGGGAACGTGGGATTGCCAGCGTGAGGACCACATATCTCTCGCGCTAACAGCCAGATCTGTGTCCCATGTGCGTTTTCAGAATTCTTCATCGCAGTGCAGCTGTTCTTCACGCTGTGTTTCATGGCGTGCCTGCTGTCGGGCGGCCTGGTGGTTCTCGCCGTCTGCTGCATGGATGACGAGCGAGAGGCCCTCTTCCTGCGTATCATCTCCGGCGTACTGGGCGTGGCAGGTAACCGGCGACGCAAGCAGTCACAGCACGCCGTCACACGGCACCCAGCCCCAGTACCCCGTCAGACGGTACCCAGTACCCAGTGCCGGTACCCCGTCAGACAGCATCCAGCACTCCGTCCCGGTACCTCGTCAGACGGTACCCAGTACCCAGTGCCGGTACCCCGTCAGACAGCATCCAGCACTCCGTCCCGGTACCTACCTCGTCAGACGGTACCCAGTACCCAGTGCCGGTACCCCGTCAGACGGTACCCAGTACCCAGTGCCGGTACCCCGTCAGACAGCATCCAGCACTCCGTCCCGGTACCTCGTCAGACGGTACCCAGTACCCAGTGCCGGTACCCCGTCAGACGGTACCCAGTACCCAGTGCCGGTACCCCGTCAGACAGCATCCAGCACTCCGTCCCGGTACCTCGTCAGACGGCACCCAGTACCCAGTGCCGGTACCCCGTCAGACGGTACCCAGTACCCGGTCCCAGTACCCTGTCAGATGGTACCCAGCACCCAGTCCCGGTAGCCCATCAGTCGGCACTGTCGTCCGCCGCTCTGGCCAGTAAATATGTAATAGCTAAGGGCTTACGGGTCGCCTAAGCCAGATGCGATGTTTTGCTTTTCCCAATAGGTCCCCATGACTCTTCGTGACCGATGCCGTCCAGCGTGCGTGGCGCGGCAGGCGCGTGGCGACTGCGCCTGACTGGGCGGGTGTTCTCCAGCGGTGTGCGGCACCATATCGGTGATCACGTTCGGAGCGCTGTGCGCGGCAGGCGCGTGGCGGCTGCGCCTGACTGGGCGGGTGTTCTCCAGCGGTGTGCGGCACCATATCGGTGATCACGTTCGGAGTGCTGGGCGACTCCCGGGACTGGATGCCAGACTACGACCACAACAACCTCTCCTGGAGCTTCGGTCTAGGTGAGGCGGCTAGCGGGCGGGCCGACGCGCGGCGGCCAGCGCCCAGCTGGCGTCACAGTCGTATGGCTGCGTGCGTAGATGCCTGTACGCGTGCTGCTTATGGCAGTGTTGAATGGGAGCCACAGCGTAGTTGTCGGGATTTTAGTCAGTGGCGAACAGGCGGCCAGTGGGGTCGCTCCGATGGCGGTGATGCGGCCTCGTCTCGTCACCACCCCATAACACATCGGCGAAGGCGTTGACGTGAGACGGGCGACATTCCTTGACTCTAGATTGAGCGTCTTCGACCGCGAAGTCACAGGCAGCAGCTGCCCGCCGCTTCTGCTTGGTTCAAAAGCTTCGTTGGTGGTGTACCAGCTCTGCGTAGTGTTCTCAATGTCTGCGGATAGGTGTCGGGTGCAGCAACCCTGGAGCCCCCAGCAAGGCACAGTCCTCGATATCCTGTTTTTAATCGCCTTAAGCGACGCCTGTTTGGATTCCACCTTGAAACCTTTCGTGACTGGAGTGTGGCAGCAGACAAACAAAATCTAAAGTTCAAAGCATTTTAAGCAGCGGCGCGTGTTGTTGGTGTTGTTTTTGAGTTCTCAGACAGCAAGAGATCCCTGACCGTGGCGACTCTGACGTCCTGTCCGGCCAATCAGGGCCTTGAAAGTGGTTGCCAGTTCGATCTGACATTTGGATAACGTCGCACAAAAGGGCGGCAGGATTAGTGGGCAGCTGCAAACACTGGCCATTCTCAGAATAGCACGCTAAGCTCCCAGCTGCCATGGGCTGAGCATCGGTGGACATCAGCAACCTTGCGAACGCGGAACAGGGCTGGCTCTCGGCATCCATGCTAGATAACGTGGAGTCCCAGCATACATTCACGCATGTATTCAGCGTATATTCAAATAGTCGGTAAAACTGTTCAGGCGTAGATTTGTTCAGAGTAGTTTAGACTTTCTGTTCATACAGGTGTGATGATTATTGGGCGAGTTGTTCCCTATCGGCGTAAAATGTTCAAGCGACGCTTCGGCCAGCTGTTTCTCCGCCTGTTAAAGTAATCTTGATGTTCGATTACAACACCCTCACGTGCTCAATACCACACCGTTTTCGTGATTCGGGCCTGGCGACGCGCCTGGCTGCTGAGACTGTGTGGCGTCGCTCGCCTCTCACAGTAGCAGGGAGGGAGGGCGCCGCGGAAAGTTAGATCCCGCTTCTGGTTTTCCCGGATGTACAGCTTAAGCACTGCATTGCTCGTATCCCTCGAATACCACACCACCTGTAGCATTGGTGAATAGCAAGCGTAAGGATGAAATTTCGGTATGGGCATGAAGTATTAATATGGCGCAGGGTAGTTGTGGTTTTTATGGCGGAGGCAGCGATAAATGGTTATAAATGTCACACAATGGTTTATAAATGCCACAAATGGTTTGTAAATGCCTGAAAATCCGTCAGTTTATATGTAGTTGCACCTATCCATTGTGCTGGTGGCGGTTGCCTGTTCTTCTCTGTTGAACTAGTCTGGTGTCTTTTCGCATTAAATGTGTGTTGGCCTAATGATGCGCGTGGTATTTAGTGCTTACTTGGGGGTTATTGGTGCTGGGGTGTGCGTAGGCGTACCACCTGTCTGTATGTATTCAGGCGACGGTAGTGGCACATGGTTTCCTAGCGTGCGTGCGTGCGTGCGTGCGTGCGTGCGTGTGTGTGTGTGTGTGCGTCCTCGAACTGACCTGTGGTGGTAGTGCGCTTTCTGTACCTCTGCGGATTGTTCCAGCTTCTGTGACCTGAGGTGCTCACAATGGGCTTCTGTACCTAGCTTGAGGGTTCATGTGCACCGCAGTATCTGGCCCTTGCAGTGTGTGCCCTCGCAGCAGACCTGTGTGGGGCGCGCGCCCCTGCGACTGGCCCCGTCCCCGTCCGCCCGGTGCCCGCTCCTGAGCGCTGAGCGGCCGTCCCCAGGCGTGGTGGGCGTGGTGCTGGCCGCCCTGGCCGGCCTGCTGTTCTGGGTCGAGGCACGCGTTCAGTACCGCATCAGGCGCCTCCAGAAGACCGCCAAGCCGGCGCTGGCGTCCACCGTCTGACTGTAAATGGCGCGCCGACCTGGCGCCGACGAGCACTGCATGCTGGCACGCGCACCTGATCACGAGCGGGCCGGGGGGCCGGTGTGGGTGGGGCGGGCGAACGCGGCGGCGTCCCGCGCCGCCGGCTGATCACTGCTCCCGGGCTGGACCGGCTGAGGTCGAGGCGCGCAGCCGTGTGGCGCGCCTGGTGCCGCTCCGACGCGGCGGAGAGGTGGCGCGGAGTTGTGCACGCGCGGGGGATGGCGCGATCGTCCTGCTCCATGTCAAACCCGGCCACCTGTTTGCTGGCACGTCCAGGACTGAGATCTTCCGGGCTTTCCCAGCTTGGTCAGCTTTTGACAGGTTCCGTGCTATGTAAAAACGTGGTTGGTGGTGGCATCGTCGGATTTTGGAAGCTTGTCACTACTTGGCGTATGGTGTGTGGCATGTTCACGTTTGTACAGTGCGGCGTTTTTTGTTAACATATAGCTGGAAATACCATTTTTTCTCCGGTGTTTGGGGGTAACTGAGGCCAACAAAAACGTTCGGCAACTTAAAGGCAAAAATTGCGATTTTAAAGGAAGCTGCTACCAGCAGTTAGGTATGTAAGTTTGTAAGTGTTCAGATGTCAATATTGTTATACCAGTTCAGGGTTAGAGCGTCCGACAGCGTAGTCGAATGTTCATAGTTCGGCTCAGCGATGTGGGCTACGACTGCGACATGCCGTCGTGGTGGTGGCCTCCACAGAGTAAGGTAGCCTACGTTTGAGCCGTCAGTTACACGCGTTACATGCCCGTAAATCAGTCGAGACTCGGGGGCGGGAGTGCCTCGTTTCGAATGGCACGCCGCCTACTTTGGATAGAATCGTGACATTCATCCATGCTTGTCGATTTAATTCCACGCTTGAACGTTTGCACCAATGCATTGGCACATCAGCCCTGCCGGACCGTGCTGCTCATGCCTGCGTTCCCGCCACCTCCCCCCCCCCCCCCCCCCTCCCGCAACACGTCAGTGTCAGCCGGCTCTGCCTTGCCTTACCTTTCGCATGGCTTGCATTGATGGCGGCCGCCTGGCTTCGTCCCAGCCTCGCTTGCTCGGGGGGGCGGTGTCTCGGCCGCCTGGCCTCGTCCCAGCCTGGCTTGCTTGGAGGGGCGGTGTCTCGGCCGCGGCGGCCAGTGGTCCTGGGTAGGGCCAAGTGCGTCAAGTCGCTTGATGTTCTGCCGCGGAGAGACTGTGCCCTTGCGATGCCTGCCGATGGCCCTGACGCATGCTGCATGGACGAGTCCATTGGCAGTGATGGACTGCGGTATGGCTGTGTTGTGCGCTCCGTCCTCGATATCATCAAGTGTTTCATCTCAGATGGTAGTTTTCTTGCCGCGATTTCCTGTTCCTCCTCGGACGGACAGGGCAGGTGTAGCTTGAAGGTGGGATTGAAAGTACTCATTGATTGCAAGAGCTCATGCGTGTTCCAGAGATGTGCATTATCGCCCAAATCATCAGAAGCACCCGTCTCCGTGTCAGGGCACCCCCAGTAGCCAGCGGCTGGGGGATGGCTGATGCCGGCGCTGGAGCCACCACTGTCCTGCTGACACGGTTGTGCGCACCCCCAGCGGCCACCGGCAGCATCCTGCTGTACTTCGCGGCCATCCTGTTCTGGGTGGAGGGCCGCCGTGAGAATAAGCGGGACGGCTTCGGCTTCGGCGCGCCCCCCGTCGGCTACGAGCCGTCCTCGCAGGTGTGAGCCGCCGCCGCGACCGACGCCAGCGGCGCCGCTGGAGCCCGCAGCTGACGCCTGCCGACGCCTGCCGACGGGCGGCCAGGCCCGAGCGGCAGCCGGACCCCCGCAGCGGCCTTGTGTCGGCCTACCGGCGAAGGGCCGGCGGCCCTCGGCCACCGTCGGCCACTTCCGACTGGGGAAGGGCCGGAGTTCGAGAGGGCAGGCCGGCGGGCGGCGCTGGTGTGTGTCCGCACCACAGGTGCCGTGTCACACGCAGTTCTCCTTCTCAAAGAGTCATGCGGGCTTGTAAGGCTTCATTGCTTCTGACTGGCTGGCAGCTTTGGGGGGGATTTAACACCCAGAGGTAACCTGCCTGCTCATTGCACCGCCGGCTGGGGACCCCGATTGGTACATGCTTTTTGGAGGGTGGCGTGGGGTGGGGAGGTTATTTTGTGTGTTTTGTATGCAGCTACAACTTTAACTCTGGCAGCCTTTCATGAGCAGACCAGGTGGTTCTGTTTTGTGAAGAGGCTTTTACTTGAGGGACATCGTGGTACTGCTGAAGGGACCATCCCTCCCATATTAATTGCTGAGATTTACATTTTAGCATGATGCTCCGCAAGATCTCGAAAGAATCTTGTCTCCCAAACGATACTCCAAATTTGATTGTACAAGGTGGAAACCATGAAAAAGCAGTCACCTGATCTTTGTTTAAAGTTTTATCAGCATTTGCGTTGCAGGATTCCGCCGGTCGTGCCTGTAATGGCATTGTTACCAACCTTTCACAATTATTTGTGGATATAGTAGTAATGAAAGCCCATCTCATTGTCTGATCCCGAAATTTTGCGTGAACAGACCGGTAACGGCGGCCGGATCAGGTGAATCAAAGTAGCCGGTAACCCGGGAGACAACTTCCGTCGAAACCTGAGGCGCGTCGTGTTGTGGAGTAGTTGGTATGCATGAGTGGTGCAGCATTGTACAAGGCTGCGTTTTTGGAGACATTTCTCAGTGTGAATACTGTGGAGCGTGATCCGTGCAAGCCAAGTTCCATTGTATCCGTCCATGATAACGTCTGGAACAGCACCGTCCAATCTTCGATCTGTTGTGATTTTCTGGCCTCGATGGAGATACCCGACGTATTTTTATACGACCATTGTAGCATATCTATCGTCGTGTTTGTGCCGGTACACACCGTATCTATTCACATGTATCACGTAGTTCCTGGGGTGACGCCACCGTAGCGTATGAGGGGCCACGCCGCCAACAGTCTTGGGATTTCGCAGTGTCCGTGTGGTGATAATGGCAAAATCTATGGTCTGCTGTGCAAAGGGGAAACAACAGACGTCAGTCAATTCCAATGAAGCCCCCGTTGTGTTCAGTTATCAGCTCGTGGCCTCGCTCCGTGACTACGTCATAGGTGGCCAGCCGTTTTGGCTAGCTGCGCGTATAGCGAAGTGTAGTTTTTCTTACACAGCAGAAGGGACGTGCTGCGTAGGCTGCTCATTTCCCTCATGCGACCCTGTTTGTGAAGTGTGACGTACTTTCGTGACACGAATCTCTCCCGCGAATCTTTACGTCTTGTTGCACACATTGAGCGCTGTGTTCATTGTACCTCACACGTTCGTATAATACATTCATGAAGAAGCGTGCTCTGTCTGGCTGCGGATGCCGCGTTGCTGTGCTGGTAATGTCCACGGTGCGGGGAAGGTGTGCAGAATACCGGTGACTAGGGCGCCCATCAAGGTGGCGACGAAACGGATGGCGTGGACATCGTCAGGACTAGGAAGAGCGTTGAGTCCGTCATCGCGATGGAAGCATGTGGCGCGCGTGGGTGGAGAACGTTGAGAAGGGTTGGTTTTGGGGAAAGTGCTGAAGCTTTTGCTTGTTTTGAAGAAATTCGGTGTGTCGAGTGCCGTATCCGTCATTCGTTTTCTTCACCCATGGCTGCACGTAGTGGTCTGTGATGTATGATGCTTTGGGCGCGCAAGTCGTGAGTAGGGAATTCAATATTCGAAGGCATTTGCAAGCGTTCTCAGCGGAGCGTTTTTGTAACACGAGCTGATGAACTGAGCAGGGAAAATGACTGAGATGTACCCACCAGGCACAGAAATTGAGTTGCTCCCCGGGTTTGACCCACTTTCATGTCAAAGTTGGCGAAGAAATTACATCTCGGGGTCCTCTACGGGAGATGACTGGGAGTATCCAAATTTCGCGGCACCGTATGACGTCATCGAATGGAATCAGCTGACGGGTGCGAAATACCACCCTGCAACGGACCGCGCAACGAGCTTGTGCGATCCTGGCTACATGCGTCGCATCAGTGTCAGGGGTGGTGGTTGGGCATGCGAGCCTTCGTGAGAAACGTTAATGTAGGATAATTACTGGCAATAACAGGTATGTGAATATCAAATTATCACTCTATATCATATGTTACATATTTGGACTACTACCATGTACGTTGTACATCAGGTTTTAGTCCCCGATGGAAGCTTGGGGGTCTGCACTGGTGTAGGTATACATTAGTACCTAATGTTAGAAAAAACATTGGACATTATTCGTTGTGTTTAAGGCGAAACATATCGTTGATAATCATAAAACAGGTAGATTCATGCTCTTATTTTCGAATTTTAATAACTATAGCGAACTCCCGAGTGCCGCACACACTGCGCCGCCTCGACCGCCCGGCGCCGTTTCTGCGTTATCGTCGCGTGGTTACAATATTACTGCTTATCAAGAACCATAGAAAATGTACGGGGCCGAGGTACTGCAATGAAATACGTTTCTTATCGCGTGTAGGTACATTTATGAAATGAACAGGCCAGAATAGTCTAGACCATGGCATAAACTAGCCTAACCTGACCTAACATAACATAACCTAACAAAACCTACCTGCTTTATCCCCTTCAACCCAGTGTCTCATTGTTCCATCCCATGCATTCATGCTCCATGCCATATATATGTATCATATAAAGAAGCTTTGTTAAGCTTCCATATTTTCATGTTGTTATTCATTCCCCACCCTAAGACGTCATATTCGACCACCACATCAACCGATACACAAACGGTGCGGAAGGCTGCTTGGATACGCAAGAAACATGTTTCACTGGATTCTTGTTACCTTGGCCCCAGTACATTTTTATTATTCTTGATGCGCAGTAATGTGATAATGTGTTAGCAATAACGAGGGGGTCGCGTTTGCTGTGTTTGCAGTGCTGGGATGTATGCTATCATGGTTATTTGAGTTCCAATGTAAGAGTTCAGATGACTTGTTTAATGATTAATTATGATATGCTCTGCCTTAAAAACAACAATTGATGTACAGTGTTGTTTTTAACATGAGGTGGCAATGTATACCATGACCTTGAATTAGTCTCAATAAGTAGCTGGCTGAAAAGGTCCATCTGTGGTGATGTCAGGCAGTTTTGGTAATGCAATTTTGTGTGTAAGATTATCCTCAGAGTTAACATGTTTCATTTTTTGAAATTTGAAATGATATTTTTGGTCTTGAAAGATCATGAGAAAGAAAGGCTGGTCATGTTATCCAAACTGCCTTAGGAGGCAGTCCACAAACTTTTGCTGCTGACATCTTGACATGTTTTGTGGCAGTACAGGGAGTGCTTAGCAAGTGCAGTTGGAAGAAAAATCAGATTTGCATTGCATAGTAGATGGATTATCATAGTCCACTTTTCTGTGTCTGCCAAATTAATCATATTCTTTTGCAGCATTTCATAAAATTTGTGGCCTGCTGCACTTCTGTTTCCACCCTTGATAATTGGAATGCAAATGCACCTTGCTTGCATTCTATTCTTGATATTGTGATTGAAGCACCTAATGACAATGTCCCATAAAAACAAGCTGGCCCCCTTTTTTGTCTCACAAGTTCATAATGCTTTATCTGTGCAACAGTTTGCATTTTGTGTATTGTTGTCTCAGGCCTTAGTTTAAAAGTGACCTGTGAAATATATATCTTAACTTTGGCTGCACCATACACAAATATAGACAATTGCAAAACAAGTATAGATGGGCTGCTCATTTGTTGCAAAATAATTGAGAGGGAGGGGATCTTTAGAGAGTATGACCAAAGTGTGATTAGAGGGTGGTTACCAAAGCATTGTACCCAGTTTGATGCTTGTATTTTTATGATGTTTAAAACCTTACAGCTAGGTGCCATTGGCATCCTTTAATGACATGCAATACCCCATCTTTGTTTTACACTCGTAGCTCAATTAGTAGTCAAACACTTTCCTCTTTGTGACTGTGTTGCGCAGCATGTTAAATGGGAGGATTTTCACTCAGCATAGCCAGTCTGTAACCTGGAGAATGGTCAAAAATGTGCTAGGTAATTTATGGATCCTGGTCTGTTATGCTCTAGCCATGAATGTCCACATAAAATTTTTCAAATGAACCAGGATGCTGCCAAAGGTCTTGTTCAATCCCCTGCATGATTGGCATTCATGCAGCCTTCTATGAATGCCATATGTTATAAACTGATGAATTTAATGACTTGCTGGCATAATGGAAGTAACAAAGCTTGATGTTGTCAAGGACAATGGTACTGTTTTTCTGTGCTGGTTACCCTGAGAACCTGCTTCTCTGGCAGATTGCTCTCTCCTGACAAAGAGGCCACAGGTACAGCACCATGTCCGAATCGTCTGCTGAGAAGCGGACGGAGGGCGACTCCAAGACTCCAGTCGGCCCGTCATCCCAGCCGGGCAGCACCAGCGCGGCAGCATCGTCGGCTGCTGTTGCCAAACCGGCGGTGAGGAGTCTGCCAGAAACCCACTTTTTACTTCTGTGGAGATATGGGTGCATCAGAAATCAGTGAAATTGTTTTCTTTGTATCCTATTGAACATATATTGTAGCTGTTGCACATTGTCAAGTCTTTGGATTTGTGTGCATAGTTGATGGCACAGCAGAGTTGGAGGCTTGGTTTTTAATTTTCATTATTCATTCAGTGTGGAGCTTTCAGTATATCGATTTGCTGGCTGTTGGTTTTGCTTATTGCATTTGGATTTATCATGTCGCGACACTTCCAGTAATGCAAATATAAGATTACAAAAGTAGTCACGAAACATTACATTGCATGCCATGTCGCTGCATTTCTGTTGGGAATTATGTTGCTAAAATTGATATGAGAGAAGTGATATTGATCCATATGAAGGCTGGGGGTGACTGTGTTACGAGTGGGCCTCTCAGTCATTCAGCGTCGCTCTGCTGTGCCTGACTGGCACCCTCGGTCCGGCAGAAACCCAACTACGTGCTCAAGTTTACACTGGCCGGCCACACGAAGGCTGTCTCGTCAGTCAAGTTCAGTCCGGACGGAAACTGGCTGGCCAGCTCCTGTAAGTTCTCGGCGACAGGGCGATGGCCCGTGCGGGTTGCGGGAAAAGTGATCCATCTCGGCGCTCGCGGTAGTTTTTTACGGATGAGGTTAAACTCTGGCAAAAGTGTGGTGTTCAAATGGTTTGACAAGCGACCTGGAGCTCTTTTCTCTGCTGAATCGTCCGGCGCCGTTTAACCCGCGCGATACGATTTACCTGGATAAGCTTTTGTCTCAAATGCAGAGGCTTTTGACGTGCGCTGTTGCACCGCGTTCTCCCCGTCGACGCTGTCACGTCGGACCGCACTGAGCGGAGCGGCCTGGTTGCGTCGTCGCTGTGACGGCCTGACTGAGCCGTGCGCCGTCGGACGCACTGAGCGGAGCGCCCTGGTCGCGCCGTCGCCTTGACGGCCTGACTGAGCCGTGCGCCGTCGTACCGTTCTGAGCGGAGCGCTCTCGTTGCGCCGTCGCTGTGACGGCCTGACTGAGCCGTGCGCTGTCGGAGCGCACTGAGCGGAGCGCCCTGGTCGCGCCGTCGCCTTGACGGCCTGACTGAGCCGTGCGCCCCGCCGGCAGCGGCCGACAAGCTGATCAAGGTGTGGGGCGCGTACGACGGCAAGTTCGAGAAGACGATCGCCGGCCACAAGCTGGGCGTGTCGGACGTGGCCTGGGCCGTCGACAGCCGTCTGCTGGTCTCCGCCTCCGACGACAAGACGCTCAAGATCTGGGAGCTCAGCTCGGTACGGTCACTACTCTGTGTGTCGACACCTCGTGGAGCAGTGCTGCTCACCACACACGCAGTGCAGGGTGTACGGTCACTTCTCTGTGTGCCGGCACCTCGTGGAGCAGTGCTGCTCACCACACACGCAGTGCAGGGTGTACGGTCACTTCTCTGTGTGTCGGCACCTCGTGGAGCAGTGCTGCTCACCACACACGCATTGTAGGGGTGTACGGTCGCTTCTCTGTGTGTCGGCGCCTCGTAGAGCAGTGCTGCTCCCCACACACGCAGTGCAGGGTGTACGGTCATTTCTCTGTGTGCCGGCATCTTGTGGAGCAGTGCTGCTCACCACACACGCAGTGCAGGGGTGTACGGTCACTTCTCTGTGTGTCGGCGCCTCGTGGAGCGGTGCTACTCACCACACACACAGTGCAGGGTGTACGGTCACTTCTCTGTGTGTCGGCACCACGTGGAGTAGTGCTGCTCACCACACACGCAGTGCAGGGGTGTACGGTCACTTCTCTGTGTGTCGGCACCACGTGGAGCAGTGCTGCTCACCACACACGCAATGCAGGGGTGTACGGTCACTACTCTGTGTGTCGGCGCCTTGTGGAATGGTGGTCACTACACACGCAGTGCAGACGTTTTCAGTCCTTGAACGCTTTCCTGTGGTAGGGTAAATTTCCCACGACATGTTTTCTGTTACTATGCCTATCGCGAAGCCGTGTTAGCACGTATTGACACGTGCAAGTTACGATTAGCTTTGATTGGTTTCAGGGCAAATGCTTGAAGACGCTGAAGGGGCACAGCAATTACGTGTTTTGCTGCAATTTCAACCCGCAGTCAAACCTGATCGTATCCGGATCGGTACGTATGATGACGTCAGAGGACGGATACGAGATATAGTTGGATATGTCTCGAAGTGTTAATCCAGGGAACGTCTAATGTAAGTATGTTGTATCAGGTATCAATGTCCTGTCTCTTGTATGTGCTTCTCGCCATATCCGCGGGTATGATTTAGCCGTGGTAGTCAAAAGCGCATGAATGTGTGAAGGCGTTTTGCCTTCTCTTTGTGAACATCTTTCTGTCCATCGGTGTTGATTGCTCGAGGCCCAGTTCTCCAGCCAAAGTTGTGAGGGCTCCCATCGCTGTGAAAATCATTATCATTGCTAATGCAGATTTGCTACAGAGAGCACCGACAGATGCATCTGATCATGCAACATATCGTTGTAGCGTGTTGGGATGCAATGAACCGGAGGCTGAGACACGCCAAACACCACGCGGCACACCCGCATAACATTCGAGGCTGTGGGTGTGGGGGGAGGGGTGCAGCGGCCCCGTTCGCGGCCGTGTGGGTCGCCCGGCGACGGCGTTAAGTGGAGGTTGTCCGTGCCGCAGTTTGACGAGTCGGTGCGCATATGGGACGTGAAGACGGGCAAGTGTCTGCGCACTCTGCCGGCTCACTCCGACCCCGTGTCGGCCGTCCACTTCAACCGCGACGGCTCCCTCATCGTCTCCAGCAGCTACGACGGACTCTGGTGCGTGCTGTGCTGGGGGCTGTCCCGGCACGGGGCGCCGCAGTCACCCAAGGACTGGGCGCCGCGAACTGAGGCTGGCAAAGTGGTCTCCACGCCTGTCACCTGTCACCTTCGCCAACGCACGCCGCGGCGTCGGCGTTTGACTGGCGACCAGAGGTGCCGTATTCGGGAAGCTCTTGTCCTAAGTACGATCCAAAAATCAATCTAGACCAGCTTTCCTCTCAAGTGTCCAAAAAATTGGCTCGTCCAAAAATGTATTTTTTAGTATTAAATAACTACCATCTACAACCAATACCCGCAGCCACTACTCGGCTCGTCGCATTTCCTCGCTCGAATCGCATGATATGAATTAAACTGGTCATCGGTAAGTTATGTGTATCACAGGCTTCCGTGAAGACATGCACCGTTCTGACACGACAGGAGGGTATCGACCGTCCAAAAAGAAATCAAAGATGTATGCCTCTGTCCGTCCAATTCCTAAACTGGACTTAAGTAGTTTTTGGAATTTCAATCCTTTGGGATCCCACCGACACTTGTTCTCTTCGCGATGAAGTCCTCCCGGCACTGACGTGCGTGCGCGGCCCGGTTTGTATCGCGCCGGCTGCTCGCTGCTCAGATCTGACTTCTGTCCACAGTCGGATCTGGGACACGGCGTCCGGCCAGTGCCTGAAGACGCTGATAGACGACGATAACCCGCCCGTCTCGTTCGTCAAGTTCTCCCCCAACGGCAAGTACATCCTGGCGGCCACATTGGACAACACACTCAAGCTGTGGGACTACGCCAAGTGCAAGTGTCTGAAGACGTACACCGGCCACAAGAACGAAAAGTACTGCATTTTTGCCAACTTCTCTGTGACAGGAGGCAAGGTGAGTGAAGGTGCAATCGCTGTATGTGCTGACTTTCACTGATTGACCAATGGCTAGTGTCATGAAACGAAATTACATAGTTGTGCACTTTTAAATCGTGTTCGAGAATTGGGTGCACATGTCGTTGACCATTTTCTTTCACCGATGCGTCCCAGTCATCTTACGAATCGAAAAAAAACAATGGAATAAAATGGACCTTTTCGTGACCGTGCGATTGCCTGCTTCGATTTGTGAGTGCGTGGGTTGCTAGTTTCGCTGGTGGGACATGTGCAGTATCTCACTAGCAGTAGGTTATCGTGGTGCGGTGGGTGGCTCCGCCTTGCGTGGACGGGTGCAGCTGGGCCGGATGTGGGAGTGTGCGTGGGCGCCGGACTCTGGCCGACAGTGACGGGCCCGGCGAAGGGGAGCTCCCTTGTAGGCGGCGCCTCTTGGCCTTCATCGTGTTCGCCTTCCGTTGCGGACGTCTGGATTCCAGGAGTATGTCCGGCAAACCCGTCTGCGTGCGGTCTGCACTTCCCGGCAAGTGCCTCGTCTTTGCAGCGTAGCGGAGATGGCGCGTCGTGGTCCCCAGTGGTTGGTTGCTTACATACTATAACAAAATGCTTGTCTGCAGTGGATTGTGTCGGGCTCAGAAGACAACATGGTGTACCTCTGGAACCTGCAGACAAAGGAGGTGGTCCAGAAATTGCAAGGCCATAATGGTAAGCATGCCATCACCCACGTATTGTGTCCACAATTAGTTACGGTAACGTTTAACTGCCCGCAGCTCAGACAAAAACAGATTTATCACTACTTGATAGGGTGCTGCAACACTCAGTTTACTAGAAGATTCAATGCATGATTGGACATGGTTTCGTGTCTAATCAATCATAGTTTCATTTCTGACCATGTCTAATCTCAACGCGTCCCGCACGTCCTACTTACATTGCTCTTTGCTGGCGAAGCCGTTTGCGGGTGCGCCACCCATCTCACGGGCTCACGTAATCCCCCCCCCCCCCCCCCCCCCCCGTTTGCAGACGTCGTGCTGTGCACGGCGTGTCACCCCACCGAGAATATCATTGCGTCGGCCGCGCTCGAGAATGACAAGACGATCAAGCTGTGGCGCTCCGACACGTGACGTGGCGTGGCGCAGCCGCCGCCAATGGCCGCCAGGCTGGCGCCGGTCGTCCCCAGCCCCGGCGGCGGCGGCGGCGGCGGCGGCGGTGGAGTGGCCCGGCGTTGTGCTCTCCCCTGGCGAGGCACAGCGACAGGTTGTGGATACGTTATCGAGGAGCATCAGTGCGGCATTCTCGCGCATGTGGGTGATTCGACAAGGCTCTCCCCACCTCGCGGGCATGCGCCGTTGACGGGAGGCTTCCGTCGACACTGTCGACAGGGGTAGCCTCTCGGACGTGGTATTCTGGGCCTTTGAGGCATGGAGACGGTGAAATGCATCGTGTGCGTGAAGAAAGCGAATGTTCCGCGCCCGGCAGGTTCCCTATGTGCATCATTTGTATCGCGCGTCATGGACGGAGAGAGGCGTTCCGATACTTTTCCGTTGTCTTCGGTCTCTCTTGGACGCATGCCGAACTTGTCGATTAATGGCGTGCACTTTTGCGATCACTTTGTTTTTCGCATAATTTCCAATCGGCATTGACATTGAACCGTCGCGGAGGGCAGGCGCGGAAGTGTTTTAATCCATTCATCGTGTTATCACCATTGTCAATAAATATGACGAACTGCCATTTTTTATCTTGTGCTACTTCGAAAGATTCCTCCATTGCCGTATTTGGTTTTTAAAATGCTTCTAGATAGAAAAATGGTGGTGTTGAAGTTACCAAGATGAATATTTTGACGTCATCTGGTTTCAGCATGTTGAGACCCTCGTTCCGATACGGCTATACGAGTGCGGATTACGTACGTCTGCGGCTCGGCGCTTACGCGGTGAAGCTTGCCGGTAGGAAGCCTCCCACCTAACAGAAGCTCCAACCACCCTTGACTGAATCCGCCGTCGCCTTTTAGAAGTGCAGCACACGAAGCTCCTCAAACAAAATCCACTGTCCTCTGGTAGCAGGTCGCTAGAGGGGAACAGATGCCGCTCGCCACACAGAAGCCTTCTGCGCCCTTCATGCGGGCTGGCAGAAGTTTCGGTTCATCTGAATATAATTGGGATGTTCAAATTTCCCTATTGCACCACAACAGTGCGCTTGGTTTGCGCACTTCGTATTCGTGGAGCCAATGGCGCCGGCGGCAATTCATGAGGCTCTATTTCGCCGCAGTCTCCCCAGCCATAGGTGAACGGACGTCTCGGAAAGTGGGGTTGGCGAAGCAATTTTGAAATCTTCTTTCCTGGTGCCGCCAGAGTTGATGACCGGCGTTCCACACTCTCGCAGTGGATGCAAAGAGCGTCCCTCATATCGTTTTTGCGCCCTCATTTAATTCTCTGAGACGTTTCGAACATTGTCGGGCTGCAGCTACATTACCTTACCTTACCTTACCTTACCTTACCTTACCTTACCTTACCTTACCTTACCTTATGGTGACCGGGAATTATAGAACGCCGCAAGGCCTGTCGGTCCCGGTCTCGTCAGGCTCCCGGTCCGGTAAGCAACCATTCAAATTACGGATAGATTCAGTGTGGGATGTCATACATGATGCCAGCCCAATGCATATCAAGCCTTAGACTTGAACTGTTCAACCGAGGTTGACGACACGACCGTGTGTGTGGAAGAGCGTTCCAGGCGTGGACGACCCGCGTGCTGAACGAGTTACGACGGGCGAGAGTCCTAGCTCGCGGGTTTCTCAGCTTCCATTGGTGTCCTTTTGTCACTTCCGAGTTGCGCCTTGTCAGGAATTCCTCCTACGACAGCGACATCCCTCCGTGAAACAGCTGGTTCACTGTTGCCATGTCTGCCCTGCGACGACGGTAGTACGGCGAAGGAAACTGCAGGAGCCACTCAGGGTATGGCTGGTAACTCACCTCATAGACAAGACTGGTAGCTCGTCGCTGAACCCGCTCCAGCCATTTCTGGTCCAGTTTGCCGAACGGGCCCCACATGACGTTGCCGTACTCCACATACGTACACACTAAGTTCGCAAAGAGCGATGGCTACGTGTGAACGTCGATGTTGGCAAAAGACGACCTCACGACCGCCGGCACCTGGTTGGCCTTGGAGATCGCTCCCGCCGTCTGCACGCCGAACTTGAGCGCATGATCCACGAAGATCTCGAGGTCCTCGGTGAACTCGACCACGATTTCGGCACCGTCCAAGAAGTATGTCAGCCTCGGGTTACAGTTCCCGATATGCATTACGTTGCACTTTGCTGCACTAAAGGGGAGCAGCCGCTCCTTTGACCACTTGGCCAGGGCGTCGAGGTCAACCTGTAGAGGTGAGTCAGGCAGGGGCCTCGGGACACGACAGTAGAGCTTGGTGTCATCCGCGAACATCTTGACCACGCTTCGCACTTCTTCTGGCAGATCGTTCACGAAAATTATGTGTAGCGTTGGTCCAAGCACTGATCCTTGTGGGATGCCGCTGACGACGTTGATCCAGTCCAACTTCGAGCCCTGGACCCGCACTCTTTGCATTCGGTGGGTAAAGAAAGCTTTGATCCAGCACAGCAAGCTACCTCTCACCGTAGGCATGGAGCTTGGAGAGCAGACGGTTATGAGGCACAGAATCAAAGGCTTTGCTAAAGTCCAGGTATGCCACATCCATCGGCTCTCCATTCTCTAGCACAGCACTCCAATCTTCGTTGACTTTAATAACTGGTTGATACAGGACTGCTTTGGGCGAAACCCACGCTGTGCTGCGTGATGAAGTCCAGACTCCGAGAAGTGAATAATTGGTGCATCATGGACGAAAGATTCGAGCGTCTCGGAGGGAGCGGCAGTGACAATAAACTTTTGCCCGTGCCTTTCCGAAGTAATAAATCCAGTACATCTAAAATTAGAACTTTGTGCTAAGCCGTAACCATAGATGTATACCATAGATATAGGGATACTGTAAATATAGCCATAGATATATAGACTGTATATATGCGTGCGTACTGTATTTATACGTACTGTATATCGTAACTCTGTAGACTAAAATACTGCTTTTACGAACGTATTGCTTAGGTTGGCAATCATGTGCTCTCGATGCTGATACGCAAATCATACAAAATTGATACCGCGTGTAAGTGAGCAAAATTCTATAAAGTCCTAAAAATAACTATTTAGAAAATATATCACAGTCTTGCATGTGTAAAACTCAATTGAATATGTAAGCAGTGGAAGAAAATGAGTCGCCATACGATTGAAAGAAAGTAACGTTATTCTGAGACGAAAAACGCGATGACGTGACGAAAGTGACGCAGTTTCCAGCGCGCGCGAGTCTACTAAAAGTAAGAGTGGGAGAAATGCTGTGAGGGCTGCCTCGCCGGGCGACCTCCTGGGTGGTAATTCAACAGTCTGTATTTGTGTCTTCGTTGTAAGCTGTGCATGCGAGTTGTTAACACGGTACGTGAAAATCGTGCGTTCGTGGTTGACGGCTAGAAAAAGGAATTTTACGTGTCGCTTCTGCGGGCAATTACCATGAAATGTGGTACCTATCGTCATGTCATGGCCATGAAGTTGTGGGTTGGGTGTCATGAAATCGATCAGTCATTTATTTTATATTCTCCAAGGGAATGTGATTTCATGGGTGCCATCCACAGTTTGTCAATACATATGGAGTTGTATGTCTTTATATACATCACAAATATGTCTTTGGCTATTTGTTACCAGTGATCATCAGTTTTATGTCTTGTATTCTAAGTCCCCAGGCATGGAGATCATGGTTTCTGAGATGCAATCCCCCATGTTTAACACATGAGGATGCCATAGTTTTTCAAACTTTGTCAAGTTTGATGGATAGCTGGCATTGCCAGTATTGTGGCAATAACCTGTCAGTGTTACATTGAATTGAAACAACTTTGTAACTGGATGTCCATATAACAGTATGCATTGTTGAGGTGGGAAGGAAGGTCTGTATATAATCAATTTCCTTGGCTTCCATTATTGAAGCAGTGTTAAAGTCATCACAGAGGTAATTAGTGAGTAAAGTCAACCAGATGTGTTCAGAACAGGATATATTCATAGCATGGCAGCTTAGTTGTATAGGACTCTTATGAAGCATTTAAAAACACTAATTTACTTACTTTATCACTTGATAAAGATGGCCAAAGTACCTTGTATCAGAAGCAGAGCCAACTCTGGGTTACAATGCATGCCTCATCAGTGTGGAATTGATCCCATACACTATGAATCATTGGTAATTGATTCCACTGAAGAAGAGTGGAGCATGATTTTGATACCTTGTCGGGTTTTTGTGATTTCTTTTCTTTTTGCTTTGAAGGTGTGAAAGCCCCTTGCCTGCAGTCTAAGTTTTACCAGTTCTTGCCAGTCTAAGTCCATGCAAGCGATGGCGTCAGAAAAATAATCACATCATTCACTTGATGATTGAGAGGGTTTCTGGTATTTTTCAAGTGATTCCACTCAAAGTAGAATGACATTGCAAAAGCATGTGGAGTAATTAATCATATAAGTGGTATTGGTCAAATGCACTAGGCTGTGTAGCCAAACAATTGATATGCACTCAAACCAGCCTTTATTTTGGTATAAAAGTGTTGCATTCAATAGTAATTATGTTTTGTTCCTTGGAAAATTATTTTCATTTTTCACTATCTTCAATAGTCATAAGCTGCCAAGGAAATTATTAGCTTACAGTAGTGTCACTTGTGCCAATTATTTTTGGTGGTATAATGCTAGTTTTGTCTAGGGACACTGGCTTAAGTAAAGGCATGGATGTAAGCTTCAACAGGTGTGGAGGCAATGTTTGTTTGAAGGACTCTACCAGCTTCTAGAGGTTTTTAATCAAAAAGATGCCATGGCCTGAGCAAATCAATGGAAAGGAAATAGTGTGTCATGCATCCTGGCTAATGTTCCATACTAGGTGGTGATTAAAGATTCCACATGTTTTACACATGACCGGCAAGTTAAAAATTATACCTACCCAGACAGTTTGCTTTGGTTTCAGCATGATTGGAAAGTGCTGTTAATCCCTAGCACCAGGTAAGATGAGTCTCTCCTCACAGACTCCATGTTGCAAGCCTGACTCTGTAACAGTAGCATATGCTAGCCCCAATTGTGTGAGTTGATTGTCCCACAAGCTGTGCCCACATGCTGTGGGCTTTCATCAGCAGCTCATCAGCCCTGTATGTGCGCGCAGGTGAGGAGGCCGTCATGTCGGACGAGAACGAAGACCAATGGTTGTACGGCAGCAACCCGCCGCCACCCGAAGACGTGGCCATGACCGATCAGCCTGCCGAGGTCGCGACCGACACTGACGCCAAGCCCAGTGACCCCGAGAACGCTCCGGAGGTACGCGCACGCGGCGGGCCGGCCTGGGCTACAGTCTTCCCCCCCCCCCCTCTCTCCGCCCCCTCCGCCCTGTCCGGCGCTGATCGTGGCCGTGGCTAATGTCGACATGGCGGCGATGGATCAAGACCGGGACGCGGCGGTCTAGGATTGGGACCGGAACATAGCGGTCTGGGATTGGGACCAGGACGCTGCGGTCTATGATTGGGACCGGAACGTAGCGGTCTAGAATTGAGACCGGTGCGGAGGAGTCTAGGATTGGGACCGAAACGCAGCGGTTCAGGATCGGGACAGAAACAGGTCAGGTCTAGGTCTAGGTCTGTCGGTCCACAGGTCTAGGTGTGATTTTGCTGGAAGTTGTTATGTTTTCCTGGATGCGTGGATGAATCCCATTATTTTTGGTCTTGCGCTCGAGACACAGGCGTGGATAGTTTACACTGCATCCGCCGTCCATTGTGAATATGTGAAGAACATCTGTTTGGCCTCCCCCTCTATGGCAGTGTGTCTACCCTCAAAACACCGGGCTGCCCTAGAACGTGGGGAAATGCATTCGAATGATTTCTCGTCGTAGTTATCCGTGGCAAAGTTGCAAAGACTTCCGTTGGACTTAAGGGAAGTACTGCAATGGGCAAATAGCGTTTTCGGTTTCCTGGCTTGCAGCTTCGTGGTTCATATTCCTACTTTCGATCTTGTGGCAAAGTGAGCTCTAAAAACAGGCACCGTTGGTAACAGGACGTTAGGTTTATACGTGAAGGTTTGACTGTTACCAGTAGAATTAAAGTGACTTCCGCTTTTTGTGAAAATAAATTGCAAGATGCTTCCAGTGCAGTTTAAGAAGGCGAAGCAAAGTTCGTGTTGGTCCATTCAACTGCCTGGCTGCTCAGTATGAAGACAACATTGAGATCGGCTGTAAGGAGTAAGAGCCACCAACAATGTTCCTCCTGGCATGCTGCCACCTCCAGTTACCAATGTTAAACAGTCGTCAATAAAAGCGCCGCCTCCCGGCCCCGGATCTTAGGTGGCGTTGCCGCTGGTGCTAGACTCCAGCGCGGCCGCGCCGTATTGAAGGAGACTGCAACGCCCCAGGCGGCTGCGCGGGATTCTAGCGGTTGTCAAGAGGAAGGGGAGGTTTTCGTAGCACTTTGAATGATTCGAGACAAGAAGACAGGCGATCTCAGATAATCGTGGAAAGGGCCGGGTCTTATGGTCTCATCCACACACGCTGTGACAAATTGGCTGGAATGTGTTGTCTGCAGTCAGGAGCGCCTGGTTTTCACCATTTCGCGATGACTTGCCCATTAGAGCGAAATCATCTGTGGTTTCTCATCGGTGTGTGATGTGTGGTGCATGTGAACTAGACACAGAGGGAAGTATTTGACTGGCTTTTGTCACACAGACGAAAGGGACCGATGGCGTCAAAGAGGATTCGGTAAACCCAGACGAAGCCAACTTGGACATTACTGAAGATGGAGACAAGACTGATGATAAAAAGGACCCGGGGAGTACGGATCCTATGCTAGGTAAAGACGTCCAAGGAATGCATGACACCATATGATGAAGTGTGGCAGGGTTATGCTGCATATGCCACTTATCCACGGCATCAAAAATGTATGTAAAGTGGAACAAGCACCTTGTAGCAGGTCATCGAACATGGAGGTATTGTTACGCCCGTCCCACGTTACGCCTTACACATAGTGTACGTCGCCTTAACACCTGAGTCATTGTCATGAACGCCATGAACATTTCCCCGAATTATTTTGTCACACAGTGGAACGGATAGCTCCACAAACAGTACATGGCTGTTCCACAGCGATGCAGATTCACTCAGGACTCGGGGGGGGGGGGGGGGGGAGGGAGGGGGAGGGGGGACTCACAATCATATTAGAGCGAATATAGCGAGTGTATTTGCCCCATGCTTCTCGTGAGGCAGGAAGCTGTTACTTGCTGAACCGGCGGTACTTCTGTTTATCGCCAGTCTGCGGCGTGGACGCGGCATGTATCGATGTGCGCAAGTTTGAGGGCGTTTTGGCCGCTTCAGCTGCGCAGTGAGAGTGGTGCGATTCTGGTTCAGCTGCGCAGTGAGAGTGGTGTGGCTCTGCTTCAGCTGCGCAGTGAGAGTGGTGCGGTCCCACCAACCGCTTGAGCGTGCGATCCTGCGCTTGGAAGCCAGCGTTAGTGTATGGTGTAAGCCGATGCCGTTGCCGGTAACTTGTGGATTTGTTGACTTGGACTCGTGGACTGGTGGAGCGAACGCCGGACTGTGGTAGCGGATGCTCGAATCGAGCAGGTATAGAATATGTATTTGTGATATGTCCGTGCATTTTTCAGAAGACATTGACGACGACAGCGACGATGACGTTAACGTCGTTATTCGCGACATTCCGGCGCCGTCGGCCTACAGCGGCTTCAAGATCGGCAAGGGCTCTGCGCAGTTCAGCACGCCGGCATCGACCGACAAAACGAAGGTAGCTTCTGTCGTCGACGAGAGTGCGTGGCATTCGGTGTAGGTTATATTGATTTGTTGTCCGAAATAGAAGAACGTCTTTCAAAAATCACCGTGGGCTTTTCCGTGGCTAGTTTTCAAATGCAATGCGAGCGAGTAGGGCTTCGCAGAGTATCGCCAAGATCTACATGACAGGAAATTTTGACACTTGCTGTGGGCGTTCATTTGTCATTGGCAAGCGTGAGTCGCGTCCGGTTAAACTCGACTTGAGCCAGAGCTCAGTGTATCATTTACGACCCTGGCTCCACTGAATACATTAATTTCACAGATGTGACGAGCTTTCAGAGCTGACATGACCACGATGCTCACTATTCAGGGCCAGGGCAATTTTGCCGTCAACGAGTTTGACGGAGTGGGAACCATCAATGGAGTGCCCGCGCATGAGTTCAACCTGGACTCGCTGGAGGACAAGCCGTGGAGGAAACCGGGCGCGGACATCACAGGTCAGTAGCGGCGGGGGTGGGGGACGTCGAGTAACGGCTTGCGATCTCGCGTTCTGGGTTTCGCTGTTGCCATCCATGCGTTGCCCCGGGAGACTTCAGCTGTGGCGTTGTTGGTGCCGTATCAGACCTTGGCCTGCGATGGTGGCATTGCCAAGGCTTGCCTCTCGCCCACCGTTCGTAAGACGATACAAAATGAAAGTTATTGGAGGCTGCATCACCCACGGCAGTCGATGCGCCTCAAAACCCCAAATCATCATCATCAAGCGATGTCGTTTTGTTTCAGACTACTTCAACTACGGCTTCAACGAGGACACCTGGCGCGCCTACTGCGAGCGACAGAAGCGCATGCGCCTCAACGAGTCGGGGGCCGGGATCGCCAACCTGCCGGTCAAGGTACGTCACACGGCATAGGCCCGGAAGGTCGCCGGTGCGGTCTGCGTGCCAGTCCAACTGCTGCGCACTTAGCGCTGCTTGCGTGTGGAAAAGCCGGATTTAAAAGCACAAAGCTGTTGCCAGTCTTTGCAATGTTCTCTTCAGTATTACGATATTTGCCTTTGCGTGTGACGTCAGTCCAGGCGTTGGTTGCGGGTAGTTCTCTGCTTTCGCGATATGATGGCTGCGCCGACGCCGAGTGTTGTCAGTTGTGCGATGCAGCGGCCCTGTTGGCGTCACATGCTACGGCTGACTCATCGGCCTGCAGCCCGTGCTCTCCGCCCTGTCGCCGCGTTGCTCAATCCGTACCGTCTCGCCTCGATATCGCCGCCGCACGCGCCTCACGCCGGTCGCTCTGGCCGCCAGCCGTTCCAGGCGGGCACCAGCGAGAAGTACGCGTCGAAGGTGGCGCAGCCGCCGGTACGGCGCTACCAGGGGACCATTGACGTCATCGGAGCCACGGCGCCGAGCCGACGCTACGAGGGCGACGGGCCGCCGGTCAGTCACATGTCGGAGGCGGAGCAGACGCCGGGCTGTCCCGGCTCCGTGGTCTGCCGCCAGCCTGGTGCTGGCGGTGTAGCCCGGCCCGTAGGCGGGATCACTGGTGCTGCTCAGCCGGCTTCATGGCGGGATGCCATCATCTCGCTGCTCCATGGGAGCGCCTCACATATGACCGGTGCGGGAAATACATCATGCGACAGAGACGCACGCTGCCCTCGCCAGTGCAGCTTACGTTGCTGGAACGTGACCTTGAGCGTGCGCGTGTCTCGGCGTGCGTGTCTTATGTTGGCGTGTCGTCCTCCGCAGGTGGCCAACTTCTCGCTGCCGCCGCCGATGGCGCCCGTGCCCAGCTACTCGGCGCCGCCGCCCGGCTTCGGCTTCCCGCCGGCGGCGCCGCCGCCCTTCTACGAGCCGGCCTACGTGCCGGGCCAGGCCTGGAACAACCCGCCGCCGCCGCAGCAGCAGCAGGTGGGCACGCCAGCCGAGCGGGCGGCTCTGCAGGACTCGCTGGCCAGCGGGCCGCTGGGCGGCAGAGAACTGAGCTTGACGTAATGTCCCTTACCTAGGCGTCATCTGAGGCGAGTATAGCTGTAAAACGTGTGTGTACTGTTGTCTGCGGTGCGGTGTTTTCCGCCGTATGCTAGGCCAGTTTTGGTTCACGGCGTGCGAGGCACTGCTGTTGTGTCTCGTGCTGTGCACCACGTCGCCGTAGCCGTAGCCGTCGGCGGCCTCCGCTCCGCCGCCGCCCGGTCTGACCCTGAGCCGTCTCTGCTGTGACCGGCAGCCGTGGCCAGGCCCGGGCGTCGGCGCGCCCGGCCTGCCGCCGCCGCCCGTGCCGGTGCCCGTGCCCGTGCCCGTGCCGGCGCCTGAGCCGCTGCCGCCGCCGGCCGCGCACACGCCCTCGCAGGACAGCCTGGACAGGGAGCGCGAGCCCTACACGCCGAGTGTCGGCCGGCCAGAGCCCTGGAGCCCCGAGCCGCCGTCCCAGTCCCGCGACCGAGACCGAGACCGCGACCGCGACCGCGACCGGGAGCGAGAACGGGAGCGGGAGCGGGAGCGAGACAGGTAGGAGTGGAGCACGGGCTCGGGGCTGGGGCTCGAGGGCAGCCGTTCGTCGGAGACCCCAGGCTCTCACTATGATACAGGGCATTGCTGCGCCAGGAGCTTAGGGCAGGTGCAATGCATTAGGGGGAGACCAGTGACTACCAGTAATGTGACAAGGCTTGGCAAGTATTGGGTTTGTGTCAGAAGCCGTGGGCTGGTGCGATGCAGCTTTTGGAATCAGTTTCTGTCAGTTATGCGACTAAGTTAAGCAAAGATCCCCTGACCTTCCTATTTACAACATAGGTATTAAAGTCAGGCGCTTTGAAACGTCATCTCCCAATCCATGCGCTTGTAGTTTTCAAGAGTATGCCTCGTGTCATTGTGTTGTCGATGCCATCTGTCTGCGCGAACGGCGGCCGCGTGGCGTAGCCCCGGCCGGTGTCTGAGCGTGCCCCGCTGTCTGCGGCAGCAGTCGCCACCACCGGCGCCGCTCCCGCAGCCGCAGCCGCGAGAGGTCGCGCCGGCACCGCAGCCGCTCGCGCAGCCCCGCCCACCGGCACGCGCGCAAGAAGAACAAGAAAAAGGACAAGAACGACTCGGAATAGCGGCACCCTGCTCCGTGTATGTGTGTGTGTGTGCGTGTGTGCGTGCGTGTGCGTGTGCGTGTGCGTGTGCGTGTGCGTGCGTGCGTGCGTGCGTGCATGCGTGCGTGCGTGCGTGCATGTGTATGTGTGTGTCGGCCACGCGCACGTCGATGTCACACAAATACATCGGTGGACACTGGTGCACGCGTGAGACGGTCGGCCGTTTGCCCCGCGGGGATGGTGTTGGTTCAGTGTGACCCCGTGACGCTGCGGTGACCTGTGGAGCCGGGGGATCGGTGCGGGCGCAGTGACGGCGTGGTAGTCAGCTGTCTGGTTCGCGGCGACGCGGCCCCGTCACGTCACGACGCCACGCCAGTGTGAACCTCCGACGCGGTCATAACAGCTGACGTCGATCCCAGCTGCCGTCGCCGTGTTGTCACGGGACGCGCCAGGTTCCTGCATGTGCTCATGGCATGTCACGGCCTCGGAGGCCGCGTGCGCTTGAGAGGACAAGCCCGGCAGGGTGCCGCGCGTAGGTCAACAGCTGTCGACACTGAAAGCTGTTCCATTGCTGCATTTGACGACGCTCATTAAGTTGTTAAGCTGTACCACGTGGCAGGGTGATCAACCTCATGTCAGGATTTGTAATGAATTCCTTTCTGCGACTGGTTATCTTCATTTGTCTGCCTCCACATGTGGAGCAAATGCGCACAGCCTACAGTGAAAAGCTTGATCCGCAAGAAAATCGGCTGAGCTGGATCGTTCGACACGCTGGTGCTAATGGAAGTACATGGCTGTATTTCGTTTACAGGAGGAACAGTTTGATGAGCCCATACCTTATCTGACGTACACCAGCGACCATGGAGAACATAAACACTTCATTGCGTTGCACGCTTGTAGGGAGCAGGCGTGGTGCGCATTCATTCGGTAAAATAAACATTCATTGCACTTCATAGCACGTAAGAACGACGAGATCATCTCTTCAGCACACCTGCTCAGCGGCGCGAGCCGACATTGATTCTGTGTGCGACGGCGGGCGTCACCCCGCGACCCAGCACCCCACGCGGACGCCACCTGGGACCCACCGCCGGGGGACCCGGGACGAGGCGTCTCCGTCAGACACCGGCCGCGGATTACGGGTGGTTAGCTGGCGGCAGGGCACGGCTCCCGAGGACGCCGGCCGCACCCCAGCTGGTGGCGCTGCCCGCGGCCTCCAGCACTGCCGAGCAGGACGGGCTGCGTCCAAGTGGGGCTCGCTCGCAGGCTCGTGCTGGGGCGCCGAAGCGCCGCTCGGCTCCGGGCCAAGCCCTGGTCCGTCGCGCCGCTCGGCTCCGGGCCAAGCCCTGGTCCGCCGCGCCGCTCGGCTCCGGGCCGAGCCATGATCCGCCGCCGACGCGAGGCGCAGCCCGATACGAGCTGGGCCGAAACGCGCTCCTAACGCGCGTACAACAGGCAGAGTATGTCCCAGCCATCGCTCGTGGCCTGCGCCCGACTACATGCCGCGGCAGCTGTGGCAGGTCGACCGCACAGCCGATCGTGCGACAGCTCCGGCAGGTGGTCCGCACTCGTGTCCTCGTGGAGGCCACGTGACTTCTGGCTATCCCATCTGACCCTAGTGCCGGCGCGGCTACTTTATCTGGCGGTAGTGCAGCTGCAAGTCGGCCGAGTTCTTCCAGATGAAGTGTCGCACTGTCCGCAGGTCCATATTCAGGTCCAGAACCTGCCAGCAGCGTCAAGAATCAGTCCAATGCAGCGGTGAGATTCTACGGATGTGGCGGCGCTGCATCCCAGATGCTCGCCGCCGCGTCGAGCACCCAGGGCTCCCCGGCTGGTTTCAGTTGGCCGTTTCCACAACAGGTCTCCATGTCATCGCGCACAAATACTTTCGCAAATGGACAGGTTTGGACGGCCAGCCCCACCGGCCAACACCACCGCGCTCGCCGGTCCCCGCCGAGCAGCTCCAACCGGTGCTGCTCAGCCGCCGTCAGCTGCCGCCGGTCGGCCCGTCGCCACCTGGTCCCCACAGAGCCACCCTTCGAACTCTGCACAGGCCCACCTGGTCGTTGCAGAGCAGTTCGACTCGGTCCTCCGCCAGGCTAGCACTCTCGGCGCGCTCGGCCGGCTCGGCGCCGCCCGCCGCTGCTGCCGCTGCGGCCGCGCCGCCGCCGCTGCCGCCGGCTGCGCAACGCCGCCGCCCTCCGAGCTCGCGCCCAGCACCTTTTCGAACACGTGCTCCACCACCTTGCGCACCTGGATAAAGTCGTTCGCGATGAGCCGGTCCCTGGGGGCGGTAAGCGTTTGTCAGGCGGTGCTGCCGGCAATGGTTTGGTGCTAGTGTGCGCGGCACCACGCCAGTAAAAAACGATGCGCATGCTCTCGGTCACAATTTTAGGGAGACTTTCGGAGTCTATACGCGCCCCAAGGCGGCGTGAGATAAGACTGGCAACTGGCCGCTTTTTCGACACAATCCACGCAAAGGAACTTGTCTGGCTAGGTCAGTGGATGACAGACACATTACGTTCGTCGAGGGAAGCCCTCGTAATCAGGGTGCGTGGAGATCGTTCCGAGAACATTAAAGGCTGCGTTTTAACACGTCGCTACGAAAGCATTCACGTTCAATCACTCGAGCGAAAGCCAACACAAAACAGCATTCGATAGGCTGATCTAATCGCACCATGCCCTCATGCCAAGAGCATCTCGGCACTTTGGACGCCGTTCAGCACTCCCTACACTTGGTGCTCACTTTTTCTGATTCTTTATGCTGCTGGAGGCTGAAGCGTGTGGTTGCAGGTAGAACGGCACCTTGATGAACTTAGGCGTGTTGCGCTCCACCACGCAGTCGACCACCCAGTCGGGCACCATCTCATTGAGTGTGCCCTCCGACTCCCCGACGGCGTCTCGGCACAGCAGACGGTAGAAAAACCGGCCGCCGGCCTCGCTGAAACGTCGGACGGCAGGCGGACGTTAGCGCGGCCGGCGCACCGCACCCAGAGGTCCTCGCACTACACCCAGAGGCCAGCGCATCGCACCCAGAGGTCCTCGCACTACACCCAGAGGCCGGCGCATCGCACCCCGAGGTCCTCGCACTACACCCAGAGGCCAGCGCATCGCACCCAGAGGTCCTCGCACTACACCCAGAGGCCGGCGCATCGCACCCACAGGCCAGCGCACCGCATCCAGAGGCCGGCGCACGGCACACAGAGGCCGGCGCACGCGCCCAGAGGCCGGCGCACGGCACCCAGAGGTCCGCGCACTGCACCCAGAGGCCGGCGCACGGCACCCAGAGGCCAGCGCACCGCACCCAGAGGCCGGCGCACGGCACCCAGTGGCCGGTGCATCGCACCCAGAGGCCAACGCACCGCACCCGGAGGCCGGTGCACGGCACCCAGAGGCCAGCGCATCGTACCCAGAGGCCGGTGCACGGCACCAAGCGGCCGGCGCATGTGCCCAGAGGCCGGCGCAGGGCACCCAGCGGCCGGTGCATGTACCCAGTGGCCGGCGCATCGCACCCAGAGGCCGACGTATGGTAACCAGCGGCCGGCGCACGGCACCAAGATGTCAGCTCGCGGGATCAAGAGGCCCGCTCGCCGGCAGGCATCCTGATCAACGTAAGCGACAATGCAACTGCGAAAACAGACTGCGACGGTTCGATGTAGGCACTCCGCCACTCAACAGCGTGAATGACCATTGTTTACATCACCTCGCGGCAATAACACATTTTGCAGCACACTGTATGGGGTTCCTGCACATAAAGCACAATACAGCTGCCTGAGCGGTGGAAATATCTCCATTACGACAGCGCGAATCTGAGGCTACCAGTCCAGCCTGAAGCGGCGGTGGGGCGCACTGCGACACTCCTGCACGACCATGCGGTGACGCGAGACAATAGCAACTCTGAGGGCCACCGGGAACAGGGCACCAGCATCTACACACCAAGCTCGTTTGAACGCGATCATGGCGGTCCCCAGCCTGCGAGTTGTTGCGTCATATAGCCCTGCGGCCAGGCACCTGAATATGACGGGCGTGTGAGGCGGCACCGAGAAGTACTCGTTGCCGACCGGCTTGGCCATGGCCTGTCCATCGGGCGTGTGCTCCGTGCCGGGCTCGGCCTGGAACGTGCGCGGCCAGTGCTCCAGCAGCGCCTGCAGCAGCAGCCGGCCGTAGTTCACTGGAACGGACCGGCGCCGGGTCAGGGCGCGTTACGGAGCCGACCGGCCGACCGCCGCACACTGACGCCATCGTGTGGCACTCGCTGGCATGGACCGGCGCCGTGTCAGAGCGCGCCACGGAACCGACCGGTCGACCGCCGCACACTGACGCCATCGTGCGACACTCACTGGAACCGAACGGCGCCAAGTCCACAACAAACCGAACCGCCAACCACGCAGTCCGCCATGGGACGGGGATGCGGGTGCTGCAGCCAGTCAGCAGCACACGGACACCGCATACGCCTTGTTTGACGGCTCCTGTTGCATGCAGCCTTACAGAGAGGGCGGCCAAACATTGCCACTCTGATCACTCACGACCGCTCACTCCCGTTCTGCACGGCCAAAGCCCTCCTTCGCTGGTGCAAGACCCGCTCGACACGAGCGGGTACCCACCTTTCTGGTCGACGCCGTCGGAGGTCTGCAGTCCAGCGTCTTTGGCGCTGACCCAGGCCGAGAAACAGTCGATCTCGTCCTGGCTGAGGTGCACCGACAGGTACTGCGACAGAGGCGCGGCGCTCTCACTCTCAGAGGACGGGGACGCACCGCACGAGGGCGAGGCTCACCACATCCCTCCAGCCGGGCAGAGCGGCTTCCAATGCTCCGCTATTAGGGCGCCGCGTTAGCAGGAGCGTGCAGAGGAGGGCCTGACCTCACTCCGCCGTCTGATCCGTTCGACCTTAGTTTTATCTGTCGGAGCCACGCGAATCACGCGAATGACCACGCAAATCACGTAGCTGCCAACCAGTTTCGTCGGACCGGCCACCGCTGAGACGGACCCGACGGCATGCAAACACAGCGTCGGCAGACGCGACGCCGCCGGCGGCAGCGTGCGGTCTCCCCGCCCGTTTGGCCGGACGTACGCCAGTTTTGAGGTCGACACTGAACCAGCTGGGGACGTAGACCATCTTGAAGCGCCGCTCGGCCTCGGCGTCCAGGTCGGCCTGACCCAGCTCCTCCACCTTCTTGGCCTGCCGCACCGAGACATGTGGTCACTTGGCGCACCGCATCGCCGGCAGCACGCGCCGGAACACAATGACAGCAGGAGCGCAGCAGCGCACGCATCGGAACACACGCACAATACGCGCACCAGAACACGTGCTGCACCACGCACGCACTACACGGCAACACGCACGCACGCACCAGAACACCAACACATGCATTAGCGCAAGAGCACCACCACACAAGCAAGTTAGCTCACAACCCCGCCCACCAAAACAACGCAGCCACACGCACTAGAACGCATGATAGGCTCAAAAGACTCAAAAGAACGCGCACACCAGGGAACACATACCAGAACAGGTCACGGATGCACCAGTGGGGTCTGCGGATCAAATCTGCACCTCTGGGTCTGGCGCAGGACTCTCTGCACTGCCAGGTGGGTCATGACGGAAAAACTC